TCACTCTCTGTTGAACTTCTTATTGTTTAACTTCATATTTGTGACTCATTAGAAGACTGACATCTGTAGTCTAAAACAGCTTCTTATGGCCTTAGAGCAGCTCACCCTGCAGGTTGAGGGATGGACTAACACATGTATCCTCCACACATCTCATATTGTGCCATTAGTTGAAAACAAGGGGAATGTAAAATCATACTGTAGAGTCTTTCCTTTTAAGTAGTAAGTTCCTTTCAATATTTTACATTTTTGAAAATTCAAGTCAGCAGCTTAAGTTAAAGATGTCATGAAAAGAAAGGACGTCTCATGAAATAGTTTCTGTCTCTCAAATCTCAGATTCCAAGATTTTTTTGTCACAACAGAAAACAGGGATGAGATTGAACTGGCTGCTGCGACAGTTTTCATCCAGTAACACCAGAGAGGCTCTCCAGCCTGATGAAGTGTCAGGACAATGTTGCAGCTTTATTGGGGCGCCTTCCGGCCTGAGTGAATGCTCTGGGAATATTAGTTGGTGATAAAGAGAGATTTACAACACAAGGACAGAAGTCTATCTTCTCTCCATCAGGCCTAAAGTTAAAATCACTTAATCCTCTAGCACCAACATGACTTCAATCAGCACAGATCTTCTTCTCTCAGATACTAGCGACAAAAATCACACAAATCTAAAGTGGCCTCAGGTAAGTGAGATACAAGCTTCAGGGCAAGCTCTTTCCCAGATGTGATTGTTTAGTGTTTCTCTCTCTGCTCATTGACTGAAGCACTTAGTGACCCCCGGCATTCATTCACAAAGTTAATGCCCCTTTCACCCCTCTTTCACTGCCCCCCCCCCCCATCCTCACAAACACACGTCTCTGATCTTCCTCCTCTCCTCTTCTGTCCCCTGAAGTCTTAGCCCCACACCCCTCAGCAGTCCCATCCCCAGGGGGCCCCCTAAGAGCCTAACTGGGTGGTCCCCTCCTCCTTCTAAAACCAACCCAACCCCCAACCCCCCCCCGTAGGGTCAGGAGTCAGAGGTGACCCCTGACAGTGTGTGGGAAACGTGCTGTGCCGTGTGCTGTGCTGGGAGGAGAGGAAGGACTTGAGGCAGCCATATTTCCCCCTGCGGCTGGTTAATAGAGCTCTTGAGGTCAGCAGGACAGTGAAACACAGTTAGGTGGTGTCGGTTACAGTTTTGATTTATTGGACCAATTTCTTCCTCAAACGTGAGTTTGTTTGGGTTGCGAGGGAGGCAGAGCAGACTTGCTAAGACTGAAGGGATCAAGCTAGACGCCATGCACAATGATTGTGTGTGTACATGTCTCTGTGTATAAATGTGTCTGATATGTGTGTGGCAGCCTATGATCCCTCGCTGAGTGTGTGTTAACTTCAATCATTTATTAGCAACTGTCTAGCCGGTGTGGTGTCAAAGGAGCTTAAAGTGATTTATTTGGAAGGCTGAGGGAAGCCGGTTATTTTACAGGCAAATTGCTGAGTATTTTCGAAAAAATGACGGCCTTGATTCTGTCCACTTGGAGGATAACAAGCCTTGGCTTGCATACTGGCAATACCTGGGGTAAAATGGAAATTCTGTAATAATAACTTTGAACAGCTGAATGATGATATGAGGCCACATATGAAATATTCTAAAAAACACAAATAGACAGACTCACAGCCATTAGTATTGTGTTTATACATCCCACCCAATTCACAGACAAACTTCTCAATTCTCAAACCCAACTGAGTTTTCATTTGTTCTTAAAAATATCATTTTCACTGCTCACTTTTTCTCTTTACTGCATTCATTAACTTTTGCATGCCTTATTGGTCACAACTTGCCAGTCTATTCCAAACAATACAATACTCTATTCAAATGCCAAATACATTGTTTATATTTTTACAAAACATTCTTTTACTTAACCCTGAGCACTACGGTCATAGGGATTCGGTTGTTAAACACGTTTTCAGAAGTCAGTTGCATTTTGAAAAATGAACATTTACACACAGGACAAAAGTGGTGAACATTTCCATTTGACTTGGGTCACACATATGGATGTTGCAAAAGTGATCAATGGCACCCTTCCTGCTCAAAACTTTGCATGTATGATGAGATTTCCAGTCTGAAGAAGTCTATAATCTTTAATTATTGCAAAGTTCCGCCTTGCTTGTACAGGAAATCTGGGATTGGACCTGGGATTTTGAACAAATCCACACCAAATTAGTTCGGACAGAATTGAAGACCTTGATGAACTCTTCTAGTTAATCCTGTGAGTTATTGTAGGCGGTCATGTCCATGGTGTACCATGATTACAATGTTACCTACTGTCAGCAGAAAGTTATAAGCTTTTAAAAAATGTAAATACAAATCCAAGCGGGTTGGCCACATCTCCCTAAATATTAAATCAGTTATTACCTGAAACAATGAAGACGCTAACATGCATAGGTCTTGAGTTTTTCATAAAACAATGATGTCATTGGCAACATATTGTTTGACATTAAACACTAAGTTGTTGTTGAGTGTTTTGTGGTGCTTGAAAGTCAACCTGTTAGGCAAGTCCTCTGCAGGAAAAATTAAAGTCTGAATCATTTGTATCAATATTACAAAATGGCTAATTTGCCCTCCCGCCCATATAATTGCCAAAAGTTAGCATCATCTAGTATCCTTGAAAATGTATTTAGCGTACTGAAGACACCTTGTTGATGAAAAGTCTTCAAAGCCTCCATAAACTAATGACCCGAACTTCAAATACACTATAGGAATACAACCTTGAAGACTGTAGTGATTATCCAATGTCCACATTTTTTTATCATACTTTTCGTCCCTCGTATATTTCCATGAAAAGGTCTTGACGCAACAAAAAAATTAAACAAATGTCCAAAATGAAATTACTGTGTATGAAACTCCCATTTATTGTAAAATCGGAAGCAGACCAACCGTGATGATGATATGATGAATGATTGTTGTCGAGATTATACTTGTTTGTTGTTGTTTACGTTTCGTAAGATCCGAATGTTCCCACAACATCCTGTTCACCAGCAACCTATAAACACTCAAACATAGCAGCTGACCAATTAACCCACACTATCAATTATCACCTGCTAGAGTCCAAATAAATAAACATATAAACCAAAACCATTGAAATACAATACATAAATACACACACTAAAATGGCTCCTACAAACACATATATGTGGTTATATTCAGTTACAGACATCACTCTGCGGTGGCAACAGGAAACTTCACAGTTTACACTTTGAGCTACTGCAGGCCAGGGTTATATATCCATATTAAATGTAGTCAGACTGGACAGAGTGTGAGTTTTATTTAAAGAGATATCTTCCATAATTTCTCTTAACACAGGACAAAGTTGTTGAGTTACAGTTTTTTTAAACTCTCATGAACAATGTTACTTATACCTCAAATTTCAGATGATCAGAGTCCCAGCCCAAACAGAGCTACATGCCGTTTGGTCAAACTCATAGCACCACCTGTTGGTAAGAGGCAGTAAATCATGCAAGACAAACATCATCCAAATGACATGAAATGTACACACTGTTGTTTACACTTCATGTCAGCATGTAATGCTGGACTGAGAACGTGTGCCCCCTCTTGCCACTGGATTTCACTTTAAATTTCTTTGTGTACTGTCTAAAACACATGCACAAAATATGAATATATGACAGCCTAGTGAAGACATCTCTGTTTCCAGCTTATTGTAAAGCTCTGTATACTGCACACTTGGCTAAACAATAAGACTTACAGAGACTTTGAGTATCTTATGATGCTGCTGTTGTAATCCTAATCTATCACTCTGTCGGGATGCACAACGGTCTCAAGACTTCAAGCAGACTGTAACATTGCTGGCCTAGACATCATAGAATACACCTTAAGAATGATCATTTTTAATTTAAGTATATAGTCCTTCAAATATACAGCAACGTATAAATCAAACAAAGTCGAAACATGCAGTGAAACATGTAATGGTACCTACAGAAACACTACTACTGGTTGTTTCATGCCTTTATGGAAAGTGGTTGATAAATTGCTCTGGAAAAAATATATTATATATTATATTTAAATTCAAATGCCCATTGTGATTTCAATATTACTTTAAACTATATTAGAGTCAAATGAAGACAAATGTGTATAAGAGCGTAGAAAAATAACATAAAAAAATAGCATAGCCTACTTGTCTGGTTTGAATCATTTTTTTAAATATATGCATCATAATAAATCAGCATAACTCTTCAAGCTCTTTTGGTTTCTGTGTTAACTATTCGTCATGAACATTTGGTAGCCTGTTGAGTTTTATATCTCCATTCTGCTCTTTGTCTAAAATGAGAGGTGTCTAGAGTCTCTCAGGCTATAGAAGAAATAAAAAAACATTCTCTACGAGGCCAATGTCGTGATGTAAGACGGGTTGTGACCATAGGCTGTAAACAATAGGGTTGTTTTACATAAAGTGGAGCCACACTCGTCTGTTTTGTACTCAGGGTGCAAATAAGCTCAACACTGACATCTGCTGGAATGTAATATTAATCGCAGCTCTTTGTTGGGTTTAATATAAGAAAGTTTGCCCTGTGTTATGCTTTCCAGGATCAGTCTCGCTAAACGATTCGCTTACAGATATTTTTCTTAGTAAAATGAACAGTACCACAGAGTAAAATAACTGACTCGTGCAATAAAACAATACCTAAACGTATGGCATTATTGTGTAAAAAGTACGATTTTTGACAAGGCTATCTTTAATGTCGAAGTATGAATCAGTCTATATAATAGAAGTACTACTAATTAATTTGAAGTATTCTCAAGCCCAACCAGGGATCTTGCACAGTTTGCCTCAACTTTCCTGAAAAAAAATGACTCATGAGATATCGAGAAAAAGTTAAAAAAAATAAATTAAAAAAAAGCAACACTTGGTAAATAAAAGGAAGGCTTTATAAAGTCACGTCTGTCGTAGCCACCTGTGCCTGAGAGACTGAGCTGAGGGCACAACAGTCCGCCGGTTCTCTTCCGTCAGCAATGACGTCATCATCAGACTAGTGACTGCTGTTATCAAGATGGCGCTGCGGCCAGGATCTGGGGGAGGCAGCAGGTATTTTAGCCTTTTAATATCGACCCTGTCGGTAAAAAAAAGACAACATGTTGTAACATTTCCGCCTCTTGGTTCCGCTTGAAAACACATTTATTACATCGTAGGGCCTTAAAGACAGTCGCGAAGGCCGGTTTTGTTGTCGATGCTGGGTGATGAGATGGCTGGTTGTCAGGTGTCACAGCTAACGGTAGCTCGTTAGCTAGCTGTGTGTGTGTGTGTGTGTGTGTGTCAGTGCTCAGAGTTGACCTGAAGTGACACCAAAAGGTTTTTAGATTAAAAATAAATCTATGTGATGTCTTGGGTCATGTTAACTATGCGTACAGCTCGTGTTATCCAGTGTTGAGACTACATTTCCCTCCTGTAGCATCGTAACATCACCGCTCTGTACCTGAGCTGACAGGCCTGTTGACGCCTTACTGAAGACAAACCTGCCTGTTTATTACTTTATATTCAGACTTATTTTATCATTTACAAGAAGGTCTTTTTTTTAAATATAATGTTGGTACATTAAAAAGGTTGAGAGGTGGAAGTAGATGGGAAGGGAAGATCTTCAAAGGAGCTGCCAGATTAGTACTTTGTTGTCTTCCAGCACCAGATAAAGAGACTTTATATTTGTATTCTGATGGGGATTGTGACAGCCCTACTTCATTTGTTCCTCTGAAATACAGTAAATCTAGTCTCACGTCTGTTATCAACCATGTAAAGACAGTAGACAGCAGTATATGTGAAGTAGACATGCATGTGGTATTAGGGCAGTTAGATGAAAACAGACTCATGATTCTTTCATTCACTGAGCTCCAGCAGCTTGAATAATGAATATCCTCTGGTAACAAGAATCTCTACTGACCAGGTGATACTGATCAGACATACATGTGAAACCAACCCCCCCCCCTTCCTCCTTTAGTCTGTATGAATGAGTGGAGGCTCATGGAAAAGGTAGATCTAATGTCAGAACCTGGAGGTAATCATAGCCCTCCTCACTAATATGTGATCTGATAGTTATTGAAGAGTGTTATAGTGGGTCTGGGCTGAAGTCTGATTTGTTTAATTGAGCTATCTATCTGCAGGAGGTATGTCATTCCAATTCTCTTAACACAATTTGACAGTATCTCATCAATCTTTACCTGTTGCGTCTGTCATTAGTAGCATAATGCTAATAAATGTAAGAGTGTTGAGGCAGGAGGTGGAGCAGTAGTGCAGCGTACAAAACTTATTTGACAGATGAAGCAGCATTTGCAGGCGCTTGAGGTAAATGTATAAATACTGTATAATGATGCTAAGGTTTGTGTCTCCTATATGGAGACAGCTACTGCATGGCATTAATTCTTTAAGTTGGTAAATGTTCCATGTGGATGTCTTCAACAGACCCTGTGATGTCAGACGGCGTCTCAATGTAATAAACCAATTATCAATGTGTTATGGTATCAATTAAGAAGGTGGACTGGATTTTCTGACTGTTGAAAAGTTTGAATTGCAACAGGAGATCCTAAAGCTGTTCATCACAGGTTTTATACTTGTGGTAAAAAAAAAAAAAAAACAACAGCAAAAAATTGTTGGAGTAAATGTTGCTAATCTTGTTTACTGCACATATTCAATTAAAAAAAAAACATAAACAAGGATAACTATGCGCTCTTTTCCCCCCAAACACGATCTTAAAATTGCCGGATCAGTTATAAAAAGCTCAAAACCCAAAGAAATGAAAAAAAAAATGCACATCAATTTATCAATTTGCAAAATATTTGCTGTTGATAGTACTGATCACAATTTCCTCAGTAACCTTGTAGTGTTTTTGTAGCGCTTGTTTTTTTTTACCCAAAAATGACCCCTAGATTAACAAGTTGGAAGTCAGTGGTTCAAATCAGTCAAGGTTTTAGGCCTAATCATGTTTTTATACTACATACAGATGATGGATTGAGTAATATTAAGCAATCGTATCCTCTTCCTTTCCTCCAAGACTGTAATTCCTCTTTTAAATTAGAGTTTTACATCTAATGCATTTTTCATTTTACTAGAAGTGAAAGAAGAAGTATAAGATCAAATAATTTCAGATTGTGCCTCCTCACTGATGATGACTTTGACTTACACTCCTCACCCTGCCGTCAGTCTCCCAGCTTGAACAACAGTTTGATGATAGCTGTCGGATGATTACAGTCCTTTTACAAGGCAGCAGCCTGCTGGGCCACAGCTGCTCTTACTGCTTATCTCCTCCTGTGTTAATCTGCCCAGCCATGATGACCTGTTATTCACTGCAGGATGGTGGGCATCAGGGCTGCAGCGCTCCTATCCTAACCTTTTAAGCTGCAGATCTTCCAGGGAGCAGATGTGAGAGTCTGAAGCATCATGAAGTCAGGCCATAACTCTCTGAAGTTATCTATCTGAACATAATACTGAGCCGCCTTTCATCTGCAGCCTCCTCTTCTCTCTGCTGAAAGGTTAAATGATTCTGAATGATCAATAAATAAACAAACCCATATATCCTCTGTATAAATAATCATTATACTACCTGTAATATATTGACCTGACATCTCATTAGCTGTAATTTACCACCAACAGGTAACATAAATTGTCATCAAAAGTCTGCTGTTTAAAAGTCGACCAGGGCATTTTGATTTAAAGGCAGAAAAACATCAATACAAATCTCCATTTAATGTTTTTTTTTTTGTGTGTTGGCCAACTGGGAGCAACAAAAACAAGCTCTAAACCCATCATGGCCACATTATGACTTTATAAAGTTGACTTAATACAACTAACAGTTACCTGTTAACCCATCTGGCAGTCATAGTTCAACACATTCGCCCTGATCAGTGTTTGTGTTCACCTGAAGATTGTAATTGCAATATTCACTCCTCCTTTAGCTCTGTTTTTGGTCTCCACCTCCTGGGGAATACAATATCATGTTCTTTAGCTGCTAAATGTTACAATGTCTGTCAGACGTGATTCACAGCAGGAAGTCACAGGCTAAAGAACACAAAGAAAGAAACCATAAAACTGAAGAGGAACTGCAACTCTCTGTGTTGTCGTAACTATGAGAGGCACATTTCACGTTGCTAAATGTCTTTCCATCAATTATTAATTAGCAGAGCATCGTCTTGGAACGTGTAATACAGAAGGGTTGCAGGCAGCAATTAAAAATAGTTATTTATGGACTAAACAGTCGATCAAAAGCAGTTTAAAGGGATTCATTGATTCAAAAATGATTATTTGCAGCCCAAGCATACAGTTTTTAACCCTTGGACTGAACACAAATACAGATATTACTTGTTATGATGCTTTTGAAAAAGCTTCCAGAAGTTAATTTAGCATGCAGGAGTCAAATCCAAGTCAAAATAATTCCTTATTTGCCATGGGGAGTTGGTAATTGCATTGGCAAATGCCTGAACTGTGTGACAATGAGCTCACTGGCTCCCTTTTGTTCGCACAGTTGTGTTGATACTAAAGTTATCAGTATGATAATGTTGCTCACCAGTTGGTTTAGTTAGATGCTCAGAGTCAGACGGGGGGGGCAGAGATTCAGCTGGCTCTTTTTTCTGTCTCTGCGTCATCAACGGCAGCCTGAAGAAACGCGCTGTAATGACTTATAGACAAATAGCTGACGGCCTGTGTGTGTTGGCTCGGCTGAGGAGAGACTTGGCGGCTTGTAGAAGCTTCCTCAGATTATTTCTTAAAGGCTTGTTTCTCAACAAGAAGCCAAGATGCCCTTGGAAACTAAACTGCATCATTTAAGCTTTGTTTTGGCATTGATGTTTAAATGAGAAAATATGTTTAACTTGATTCTGGTTGACTGAATGTGCTGAAGTTCTATCTTATTGAAAAGGTGACTAATCTGTCACTGCTGCTTTTTGTTCATCATGAAGGATATTTTCCACGTTATCTTTTATATGTAATGAAAGCAGCTCCTTGGTATTTGTAAAGCCTCAATAATTTATTTAACAAAAAGTATTTCCCTTGTGGCTTCCTAAAGTGATAGTTTATTAATGATGCAGAAGGTTTAAATAGGATCGGTTCATCAAGGTTTTCAGCGTCGCAGGGAGCATTATTTGGTTCCTGTATCTCACTTAAAAATCTCACAGGTGTCCATAAAGTGTGCATTCACTCTAGCTAAAGTTTCAATCTCTTGACATGCATTTTGTTTTCTTCCTTTAGTTTTATGTATCCTGTTGGCGGTGGTCTGGGACCGCCACAAGGTGAGTCATTCTGTTTCAATATTTTTAATATCTAGTAAACAAAGCTTTTCCCCTCCCCCTGAGTTCAAACGCTGACACAGGATTTTTAATTTCAAAGGGGATCTCTGCATCAACTCTTGGATCATGTCAGCATATTTGAATTAGGGAATCAATCTGTATGAACCTTGAAGATAATTTCACTCATATTTTTTGATGTTACTGTAATCTTTTTTGCAATCAATCAAAAATATAAAAAAATATTATTCCCAAGCAACCAAACCTATTAATTCAAATACAGAGCATTGGATTTTTAAAAAATGTCTAGAATAAAATACTGTCATAACACACTGCTTTTACAAGATGCCATCATTCGCTGTGCTTGTCTCTTTGGAGTTGTAGAGCTGCGAGAGCAGGCCTATTACCCAGAGCTACTGTCAGTCTAGGGCCGCAGCCTCAGCTCATGGCAGGTGGCTGGATAACACACTGTGGTCATACCACTTGACCGGCATCAAGCAGCAACATATGAAAATATAAATAATTAGTTTAATGGAATAGTGACACTGGTGCGGACTAGGGTGGGTGATGGTATACATCCCTAGAAATAAGTAGCTTGAAGATTTTGCCCCAGTGGAACTCCAACCTTTTGTCAAAAGGTTGCACAGAGTAATGCATCACTGGCCTCTGATGTATCATTTACCTGTGCTTGCATGCCATATTTGGGCTGTTGACTCCCATTGGCTGCACCATTTCAGACAAAGTAGATTGTGTGCTGCTTCCTAAACAAGCCACTCATTCAGAGCAGCTGATTGCTAACACGGTGAATCATCTGGCGGCTCAGCTCTGGCTGCTCAGCTCACATAGCATCTGTGAAAACAAACAGAGACTTTCACTCCTTTTCCTCACTCCTCTTGTTTTGTTCCAAGCTGTCACAGTCGTCACAAGAAAAACAGATTTGGTTCTTGCAGAGCCCAAGCCTCCCCCAGCTGTCCAGGAAATTGATTTTCAATACTGAATCAAGTCCAGATTCTTAAGGCCTTTTTTTCAAACTGCAGAATTGTATTTAGTTTTCTTCAGTGTATTGTAAATTGTGCTGACTTTCATGCTTCAAATGGTGATAGAATACACTATTCTTCTTCATGTCTATTTTTCATCCTAACAGTGTTTGATGTTTGTTTTTTTCAGGCATGGTTCCCATGCAGCAACAGCAGCAGCAGCAACAACAGCAGGGCTTCCCTATGGTTCCTGTCATGCAGGCCAACATGCAAGGCATGATGGGAATGAACTTTGGGGGACAGATGCCCCCCGGGGCCATGCCCATGCAGGTGAGTTTGTGTTCTGCTTTATGTTAGATTAATATTTAGATTAGTGTTGTCCAGGTCTTCTCTGTGTTCATTTTATTTTACATATTTATTTTATTGTTATTGACTCTGATCTTTAAACACATAAAACTGAAACACTGGATGATTTAGCTGATGTCATTCAATGTGAGGCTGAAGTTTAGAGCTCCTCCTGAAGTACAATACTTTCCTTTGGTTGTAGTATTTAATAACAAGTTAGAGGGGAGTTTAAGAATAACTGTTTGCCTGTTTTTCCTCTCACTGTCTGTCTTCACCGTGCTCTGCCTCTCTCTCTGAACTATTTTATTTAAGGTGCATTTTTTATTTAACGTTATTTTTGATTTCATGTACATGTTGTTAATTAAAGTGCCTGTGTGCTATCTGTCATTTGGCCATATCGATTTGACTTAGAACTGAAAAAATATCGAGATATATATGGTGTATTGCCATTAAGTTATAAAACATATTGAGATGATTTTTTTGGTCCATTTTGCCCAGCCCCAGTCTGAGCTGCTGTTTGTGGTTTTTTTTTTTTCCTATTAGGGTGGGATGGCGATGAGTATGCAGTCCCCTGGGATGCAGTTTTTGGGTCAGCCACAGTTTATGGGTATGAGACCAGCTGGACCCCAGTACACAGCTGACATGCAGAAACAAATGGCCGAGGAGCACCAGTAAGACTCCTTTACATTTATACCAGATTTCTTCTCTATGTCTGTTTGGTTGTTAATGTCAAAGCTCTGATTGTACAAAACAGCAAGCCGAGTGGTTCCAAGCTAGAAGAGAAAAAGTGACCAGCTCTTACTAACTTTTTTTATACCACTTTATTTGTAGGACATTTCCAGTTACGATTTTTTAATAATCTTGGTATCTAGTGTTTCTTCTTTGGTAGACAAAGTTCTTTCATGCTGAGCAAAATAAATATTTCAATAACACTTTGTTCTCACATGACAGCAATGCTCATCTTTATTCCACTACTTTCTCTTGTATACTGAGGAACTGCATACACTATTCTGTCCTCCTTCTTTTACATCTTTATTCATTGATTTTCCCCTTGCCTTCCAAGTCTGCTCTTATTAAAAAATCTCTTTAAAGTGTCAACAGGGCATCACATCTCCAACATATTCAAGAATATTAAGGTATCTGCTCTATTCTTACCCTTCAGAAAACGTCTGGAGCAGCAGCAGAAGATGCTGGAGGAGGACAGGAAAAGGAGACAATTTGAGGAGCAGAAACAGAAGCTGAGGCTGCTCAGCAGTGTCAAACCCAAGGTGAGCCTCTCTCCACCTCCTGATTATTTTCCCACTCTTATTCTGGCCGGTCCAGAGCTCATCTTTGGAACCCCTCTGAACTCCTGACCCTCTTTTGTTCTGTACTCAGACAGGGGAGAAGAGCCGTGATGACGCTTTGGAGGCAATCAAAGGCAACCTGGACGGCTTCAGCAGAGACGCTAAGATGCATCCAACTCAATCATCACAGACCAAGAAGCCAGGTACCTCCACCTCAAAGCTTTCACATGTACTCCCTGTTGTGTCTCTCGGTCAGCTGATCTTCTCTCTGCAGCTCTGACACAGCTACCTGACAATAATAGCTGGATTACAGGCAGGTCAGCATGATGAAGGACCAGTTGGCAGCCAGACCAGCCAAAATACGGATTTAACATCATTTTTTGTTTCCTTTTTTTTATATTGTTTCCCCTCTCACACTTCATCTGCAAACCTGTCAGTGTTTTTTATTGTTTTCAGTAGTGTAGTGTTTTTTTTTAAAAATATTTGTGTACCATACAGCATCCATGTATGAACCTCAGTGTTCATGTTTGGATCCTTTTATTATTTTCCCCACTTAACCTATTTCTGTGCATTTCAAGAAACTGCAGTCATGCATTTCAAAACCACTGCCTGAAGTAAAGCTCGACAGACAAAGTTACCAACCTATTAGAGAAGCAGAAGTAGTATTTAGTTGCTACTTTTAAACATTGGCCTTAAAGGGAACCTTAAGCTTTCTTCACACGCTCTCATGGTGAATTTCCCAATATATAGACCTTTCTGCGTTCACACATGACCCAACCCTGACTTTTCACAGAAAGTTCACAAAGGAGCTGGCAGAAAAAAATCAGGGGAAAGTTGGGGGGGGTCGGAAGAGATGGCAGCCTCTTGTGTTCAAACATGCAGCTCACCCTGAAAAATGTTGGGATCTTTTCATGTTTTTTTTGTCCGTGTGAAAAAGCCACCCTAGGTGCTCCAAACTTGAACAGTCCATATACACTGGTCCTTCAATTTGGATAACAATTAGCAACAAGTCAAACAGTTCAGTATTGAACAAGATCAAAGCATAGGTTAATAAAGGTTAAACAAAAGAACATAAGTCTATTAATAGAGAGGCTTTTTTCTTTTTTGTTATAGTAATCATGTTGTAATTTGTATATGTGCCATTGATGGGTCCCACACTCCAGGCTGTGTCTGCTTTAAAGTCATTATCATGACACTGGTTGAATTTGCAGGTCTACACTTTCTGGTTTTGCACTAAATAGTCTCTATCTCATTCTTCCAATGTGCAGCTTTTATATCATTCTCCATTGTTCTGTGTTTCTGCCATGTTTTGTGCCATCATCATTATTTCTTCATTTTTTCAGACTCATCGCCATCACACCCGTCTGTCACCACTCACTCCCTCCCCCCCGCTGTGTCCGAGGACAATAACGAGTTTAGTGACTTTCAGGGGCCTGTAGAGACCCCCCGCCTCCTTCCCTCCGCCCTCCTCCACTTCCTCTGCCTTTGGCCTCTCCTCTCAGGCCTACGTCCAGCCGTCATCCTCTGCCCCTAAGACAGGTTTCTCTCAGGACGATGATGAATTCAGTGACTTTGTTCAGGGTCCCGTAAACGCTCTCCCTTCCTCACAGGCCCAAGTCTTACCTTCGTCCCCTTCACTGAGGGCAGGTCTGTCCTCCTCCTCTTCCTCCCTTCCTCAGTCCCTTCCCGCCTCTGTGTCCATTCCCACTGTCACTCAACACTCTGCTGTCAACACCAGCTCCCAATCTACATTTCAAGGTAACTCTTCTTTTGCTTTGTTGACACCTCCCCTCCCATCCTCATAATTTGTACTCATCCATTTACTCTCTAAATTATAGAGGGTTTTTTTTTTTTTAAACTTGTAATGCTGCCTTGGTTGCTGATGCTAAACATTTGGACTGGTATGAGTTGGTTTTGGCCTGTGATGCAGAATGAGAGCATGCAGCAAGCTCAGCAGATGGCCCATCCTCATTACCTAAAACCTTTAAAGCTATCACACATTACAAACAAACAAGGATGAAGAATGAATCAAAAACTGTGTACCAGTAGATTATTACTGTACAGTAGCTGTATACACCATTAATGCTGAATCCATATTGAATGGTTTGCACACTGATTGGGGACTGTCACTTTCATATATCATGTAGTGTCTAATCTCTGGGATGAGCTGCTGCTCTGTGGCAGTTCTCTGGTCTATGAATGACAGGACAGAGATCAACTTCTGTCCGGTGAAACGCAACAGCCGGCCCTCCATCGGGTGTCATCCCCCTATCCTCTGAGACATTTTTGACCTAGTTGTTAAGCATCTGGAATAAGCAGATTAGAAGGCTTTTCGATCACTGCCTCTGATACGAGAGAAGACCTCAGGAGTATATGTTCTCCCTATTGTGGGATTTACAGGGTTTTTTTGTACCGATGATAATTGCACAAGAACTACAAAAGTGGTACACCAAAACAAACAGTTTGTGCAGGCAGAAGTATAACAGGATGTCAGTTATAGCTGAGAGAAAACATTCTCTGAGATACGAAACCAAAAATAAACACGCTAAGCAGGATATTTGTCAAGTATGTCTTGACAACTTCGCAACTTTTGCTACAGTGGTTTTATCGAGTAGGGAATTTACTAGACCTGCAGGATATGAAAGAAATATGGGATGCAGATATCATTGTTTACCATCGCGATAACATTATAAAGTGCAATAAACAGAAATAAAGCATGCGCATTGTGTAGAACTCACAGCGTCTGTCTCTATCAGCTGTTCTTCAAAGAACACTTGTTGGCATCATTTCCCCCCTGAACCCAATATCAATCCATCAATCACTAAATATTCACCATTAAAAGTGAGGAGAGCTGATAGCTCACTTTTGTTTCATCTGAAAGCATGACCATTAAATCTAGGCCTCAATCCAACAGTAAAAAATGAACACAGGCTGATGTCTCATGTATTTCAATCAAATTCAGACTTTGACTTCAACTTGTTAATGTGAATACTCTTATCACTATTACAATGGTGTTGTGATTGATTAGGCCGTCCTTGTATTTTTACATCATTCATACATAGAAATATCATTTGAGTTTTGCACAACTCAGCAAAAATATAAAGCTTGATATAAGCATAAAAATAGATTAAATAATCATAGATTAAAAAAAAGCACTTTTAATCGGAATGGACTTGCATGTAGTTCAGAAGTTAAAACTTAAAATACCTCATTCTACCTAAGAGTCTGTGCAGCCTGTTGGGTCTTTATGACCACAGAACACCTGAGTCTTATTTGGAGACTACCCCAAAGCTGAGGGGCGGCTGACTCTGGAGCACGAGTCATACAATGTGTCCAAGGTAAACGTAGAAACCCCGGGTAGTAGACATAAGCGCTCCCCTTGTTGTTTTGGGTCTCAGAATTTGTAAGGCCCTCATGAGTGCCAAAAACATCAGTAACACATTCATTAAACTTCAATTTATCGTTGTGCTTTCTGTAGTTAACATAGAAAAACGGAATTTGGCTTTGATTGATAAATTAATATCCCCCTAAATATGACAACAGACATTGCTGCTGAAGCTTCAGACTTAAACTTCTGTGTATAGTGAGTTTGTCACCCAGAAACCTGTCCTTTATTCATTCCTCTAGGCCCGTCCCTGGAAGAGAAGCTTTTCTCCTCATGCGATCTTACGGCTGGTAAGACGGCCCAGGTTAGCTTTAAGTCCAAGCAGAGTATGGCTGAAATGGGTCCTAGAGCCAAAGTCTCAACACAGTTTCAGTCCAGCACTAAAGCCAGGAACTGGGCTGAGGCCCCCAAGGACTTGAGTTCTGTCTTCGTCTCAGAAAAAGTACCTGAGGCTCCGGTGTCAGCACCCAGTGCCCCCCCACCGGCTGCTGACTCATCTACTCACAGCAATAGTGACAGTGGTGAGAGAAGTGAATGTTTACTCGACTTCATAGCTTTTCTTCTCTCCGTCGCTTTGCTGCAGGATTACCTCGCAATCAAAGCAGTCTCTTCTTTCCGTCCAAATTTCTTCGCTCTCTTACTCCGACAAATGAATCAGTTACTTTTTCAAGCGGCTTAATCTCTGTCTATTTCTTTGGGTCTTAGTTGGTTTGTACCTGATTCCAGACCAGGCATTAAACTATTTGTAGCTCTTGTGCTGTTTGATCAAATCCTGCTGACATTTTCTTCACCTTTGACATTATTCCAGAGCGTGCTGTCTCCAAGGTTTCCTCCTTGGTCTCTTTACATCTTCTCCTGAGACAAGGCTCTTCTTTCTGCCTGCTTCATATCTTTGTCACTTCAGACCAAATCTCATTAGAGGGGCCCTCTCATGTTGGCTTTCTGTGCACACATGGTAGAAATGGACTGTTATACCTGCTGACTCAGTAAGCTTCCATCTGTTCCCTCGCTGTGTAACACCCTCTGATAACAACCTCTGGCGCATGCTGACTGCTTTGCTTTAACAGGGATGTGCATGGATGGACAGTTGCCACCTGGGCCCGAATAATCCAAGGCTGATTGTGCATGCCACTGGGCTTCTTTTTTGTGCTGTTATTTGTTCATTTGTTTGTCTTTGTCCATGTCATGAGTGTCATCAAGGGGAGTATAAGGCTCGTCATGGAGGCTGAGTGAGGATTTTTAATACGGTTAATGTAGTTGCCCTAGACAGATGGGAGGGAATATTAGCAGCGAGGTGACAAACAGGTGCCTTGCAGACAGAGTATTAGTGAGTTAAAATAATCTATAGCTTCTCCTTCCTGAAACATTTGTTAGCCTTTATGTAGTAAAACTTTATTTTGTTTAATTTCAGCAACTTAATTAGCTTCTCAGTTATTTATTTTCTTACAAGGCAGTCTCGACTGTCTCCCCTATAAAAGGTTTATGGATGTCTGACATGGCAGCACACTTGTGATTCACTGCAGGAGAGCGTTGTATCTGCAGCGAGCCTCTTGGACATCAGGTGTATTATTTTTGTCCAGTTGGATCCCAACAGGGTTCAGCTGCCAAGAGGCTTGGCAAATCGTAAGCCCGAACAAAGGCTTTTTGCTAGAAGCACTAACTGTGTGTGTGTGTGTGTGTGTGTGTGTGTGTGTGTGTGTTTGATGTGTGCGTTTGTCTGCTTGTGGCAGCAGGTGTTGGCGTGTACCCACAACAAGAGCACATCCAGCCCATGCTGCCTGCCTGGCTTTACAACGACAGCCTCATCCCAGGTAAACATTTATACACTGACACATCCAGTGCCATGTTTCAGATATTCCTATTAATCATTTACCTCTGTTGCCTTAAGAAAAAAAACATTTAACTACCGGTATACTGGGTAATTGGGATGTCAGTTGTTTACATCTCGTTTTCTAGCACACATGAATATGTCTCCTGCTGTTTCCTTTTCCATAGAAATGTTCAAGAAAGTTCTTGAATTCACCATGACACCGGCAGGGATAGACACAGCCAAGCTCTACCCCATCCTGATGTCATCAGGTCTACCCAGGGAAGCTCTGGGGCAAATCTGGGCATCAGCCAACCGCACAACACCTGGCATGCTGACCAAGGAGGAGCTCTACACTGTGCTGGCACTAATTGGTGTGGCACAGGTAAACATCGGAGTCAAGATAAATTATCCACTTAGAGCGACTTCACTAATCATCCCTCCTGGCTGGAGTCTGGCTACAAACTCTTGGCTGAAATCAGACAGGCTGAGCTAGAAATAGAGAGAAAGAGGCAGTGCTGTGAATCAGCCAGGGGCTCATTGTAAGTCGCGTATATGTCTGAGTCACCATCAGCCCAGTTAGGCGGGAGGCTGCTTATCATCCTTAGCCCCAGCCTGTCAGCACCTCCACCATGTCTGGGAGGATGCAAATCTGCATGCAGCTCACGAAATACAGCATTCCACTGCTTCCCAGCAAAGAATAATAAGATACCGTTGGGGATGTAAATCTTCAGGAGTCTTAAAAAGCAAAAACAACAAGTTACATTCTCATGTGAGAGAGAAAAAGATCTCAGTCTGCCTATGAGGTCCGCTCAAAGAGAACTTGACTGTGTTGAATTATTTATAAGTCAACATCAGTCTTTCTTTTCTTAGTACATTGAATTCATGATGGCATCAAATGAAAAAGTTCAGAGTATAGCTATAACCTCAAAGAGAAGAACCAACCATGTGTTTTCTCTATTTGCTTTTACATCCCCTTGTATGTTGCTTCTAGCTCCACTGGGTCACAAATGATTGAGTTTTTAGAAGCTATAGCCGTTTTCTCTACATAAACAGTGAGTATTCCAGCAGCAGGAAGATTAATGTTGAAATAACCTAAAATATTTATTGTTTTGTGGCTCATTAATTTGTTTCTGAATACCTGTTGAGTTCTGGCACAGAGATGTAGTCTAGAGAATACTATGAGACTTTGGATGCAGTTGTTATACTTGCTAGTGGGATCTGTTCATGGTTTTGAGAAAATATCCCAAGTTACAGTGAATAAAATCACTGTACACTGTTTCCCATTGTTTCAGAGTGGCCTCCCTGCAATGAATGTGGAAATCCTCGGTCAGTTCCCTTCTGCACCCGTGCCCAACCTGCCGGCCCTGGCTATGGCCATGGCCTCTCACATGCCCCAGCACCAGCACCAGCAGCCCATGATGACCCAGCCTCCGGTCTCCATGGCAATTCCCACACCAGCACCTCCACCACCAGTCATGGCGATGACACCCGCAGTCCCGGTTCAAGCCCCCACAAACACCAACTTCATTGCCAGTTTCCCCCCAGCACAGGTAACAATCCCACACCTTGAGTTCTTTGTCTTCCTGTAGGGGACATTAATTTAGATCTCACTCACTAACATATCATTGGCTTAGGTCAACAAAACAGAGGATGACGACTTCCAGGACTTTCAGGAGGCCCCAAAAGCAGGAGCGGGAGACCCGGTCTTCACTGAGTTCAAAGGGGATTCCGGTGGAAATTTTCCCCCAAGCATCGCACCTCAGCACCAGAACAGGTACAGAGCAGTGGAAATAGTAGTAATAGTAGGCAGAAACATGTTCTTATTTTTCAACTTGAACAGAGCAGAATTTGATATTCTATTTTGGATAATGAGTGTGTTCTTAAAAAGCAGGAAGCTTTGAATTGTCTTTATGCATCATTATTTTTTGTCTGCTTTTGCCCTCTAACTAGCTCCACCTTTCTGGCAGTGATGAGGGTCTTATATTCAGCCTGTGTTGGTTATTTATAGCCGAGTTACTCTGCATAATACTCGTGTCTGTCATTGTCTGTCTTGGACACCATAGAGTCAGACACATTGTCTTAATATCTCATAATAACCTCCCCAGAATAACAATGAGTGTGGGTCACCTCTTAATGAATTCCTTTCAGTGGACAGTAGATAAGCGTTTTTCTTTATATTACTTTCCAATCCTGTATGGAGAGAACATTTTCACAGAGAGGAAGCTGAAAGGCAATTATCCCTGTGGAAGACAAAGAGAAAGTCGAACCAACGTATCTCACATCTAAGAGGCGAAGGCCTTTAAAAATAATTTCCACCAATTCCTCCCATGAAAACATCCACTCCAGTCCTGACTCTTTCAGCTAAGCAACAAAACTTCCCCACAGTCTGAGATCTTTGTCTAATTGAATCAGGGGCTGTAAAGCTCATGTTGGGTTTCCAGCTTGAATTGGCAGGCAAAACTAAATCAGATGACATAGAAAGAAAAGAGCTTTGAGGAAACTTCAGTGGAAAGTCAGCTTGATGATTTCCTGTAGTGTATGACTGTAGTATGTCATCAGATCAGATACTTCAGAAATATAAAGACTTTATACATGTTGTATCTAAGTGGAGGGATTTGAGCACATCATTTGATTTCTTATGATGCATTACATATTTACAGTACTGTAGGTATAGTTTGACATACTGTACCTACTTCCCCCAGCTATTGCTAAAGCTAACAAAAACCACAGCTTTTGAAAGTTAAATGACTTATTCTAATTGATGTGTTAAAACAATTGTTGGTGGTTTAATTTGAGTGATGTGCTAACCTTTTTTATTGGCTTGGCCTGGTTACTTTCAAGAGTGTTTGGTGATTACCTGGCAAGTGGCAACGTATCCTAATGTTATATGGGTCTCTTTGTTCAGAAAAAAGATATATATATATATAAAAGATGGAATGTGGATTGTTTAATAGTGTTGTTTACCCTCTCTCCAGTCTTTTGCTACACTAAGCTAAATTATTTATTGGTATCTTTATATTTTAAGACAGACATTAGATTGCCATCCAGTATAGCTCTATACATAAACATAAATGTGTTCCTCCAACCTTAAGATTCGACCTGGATCTAAACTGAAGGCCTTTTTGTAACACAAAAAAATATATAAACATGTTTCTGTGTGTCCCTGTAGCGCTCCTGCCATGCTGACTCCAGTCTCTGGTTCTTCATCAGTCTCTGTCACGTCGTCTGATAAGTACGCTGTGTTTAAGCAGCTGTCTGTGGATCAGCCTGCAGAGCCCACACCTCCTGCATCAGGTACCCTCTACACCTCACACGTTGTGCACAATTTCTCAGGAACATTTTCTACTCTCCATAAAATGCTCCAGACAAGTAAAACCCTAGAAAGAAAGATAGTGAAAGACTTAAGAGTAGGTTATTGAGGAAAAAAATTTAATCTTCAGACCTCCAGCTTTTTGCAGCCTTTACCGCAATGTGTCATCACACATGAGTTTCCACACATCTCAGCCATGACACAGCCAAGGAATTGTGCAACCAAGTATTATCCTTTTTTGATCAACGTAATGCAGATCTTACTTAGTTTTAATCCTTATGTTGAATCCTGGAGTCATCCTTAAGTCAACTCAAATGGTAATGCAGGCCGCTTCAATGAGGACATCTTCAGTTTTATGAAAATGTTTCTAACCTATTATAACCTTCTTTCATAGTCGCTGACGCCATACAGATAGGTTGGTGATGTCTGGAAACACAAATCTAATAACATAACCTGCAAATAAGAATGAGTGCTGAGTGTCTGTCTTTAAGATCTGATTTCAGAAACAAATCTGATTTGCCTGCAGGCTGAACAAAGCTGCAGAGTTTCAAAACAAACTGCGTTAAGGGAACACATTTTTGCCTGCATTTCCTGCTCATACTGAAGTCATTCTTTTACTTTTTTGATCCAGATTCCGGGGACAAGTACAGTGTGTTCAGACAACTTGAGCAACCTGCTGACAAGAAACCAGTCGGTAAGAAACTCTGCAAGCCTTTTTTTTTTTTTACACATTTAAGACATGCACACACACTTGCATATGTAAAGCAGCAGATTCCTAAGCCAGTACCTTAGGTTTCTTTGTCAAACAACAAAGATGACAGCATTGGCTCTAAGTTGGTCCCTGCAAGCAGATTGCTAAAGGACCTTAAAGAAAAACCTCTCGTCCTCCTTAGAGAACACATCTTTTGTCAGGACGAGTGCGTTGGTGCTAGATTCCCTCTAATTAAACATAGTCTTGTATTTGAAGCTCTCAGGTCATTGCAATGCCATATTTCCATTTTTGCACTGTATCTTGTTTGGTAAGCCCCCACATTGTTGATATCCGTGTGTTTCCCGTCCCTGTTTCATTAGAACAGTTTCCGATGGGGACTGCTCTTACAACTCCAGTAAGTCGTGCTTTTGCGGTGACCTTTCCTTGGCATTGTCAGGCTCCATCTCCTTAATGAGCCCATTAGTTGTCTCTTTTCCTCCGCATACACCGACAGTGTGAACAGATTCGGTGTTTCAGTCCCTACATATATTATATTTTACCACAGTGGATGTACAACCAACTGAAACTAAAGAAGGCCTTTTACTTTTCTTTCTGGTGGAGTATTCCAACATTTTTGAGTCTAAAGATTCTTTAGAATATCTTCTACTGTTGTGTGTCCCTGCCAGACCAGTGTTAGTGCTGTTTTTTTAAGACCACAGGTAAAAGCAATCTGTCTTTTCCAAAACACCTTATTTAGCTTAATTTAAAAATGTAGTTCAGAAATCTTTATAAAAGTTGAACCGATATAGCATGGGGAAAACATGTTGGCTACGACTTCACTGGGAGACTCTTTCACTCTGAAAGTCGAGACAAAATAACTAGTTTGATCTTGATGGACTGTACAGGCCTGTGCATGGTTGTGATGATGAAGCTTTTTTGTGCAGTGATGTGTGCTCGACCAAAAGTTGGTAGTGTGATTGTGAACCTAATCTATCTGCCTCTTTCCTTTTAGGACTGAAATAGACAGGATTATGGAGGGAGCAGCCGAGGCTTTATTGTCTCATCATGTCTCTGACATTATTTGTTAATGTTTTCAAATTGTTTTCTTTGGTTTGCAGGGGAAGGATTTGCAGATTTCAAGTCTGTCAGCGCTGATGATGGCTTCACAGACTTTAAAACCGCCGACAGCGTCTCTCCACTAGACCCCTCAGAACAGGCCAAGATCTTTCAACCTGCCTTTCCTCCTGCTTTCCCAACCTCTCAGTCTCTACAACAGCTACCACAGCAGCAGCCAGCAGTTTCTCTATCTCAGCCCAAAAATCCTCTAAATATGGCCGACCTGGACCTTTTCTCTTCCATAGCTCCCTCTGTTCCCGCCTCCTCTGAGACAAAGCCCACCACATTCCCCTCAGTGTCTGTGCCCCCCTCTCTAGTTCTCCTACCAGGTGGAGCAAAACCTCCAGGGGGAGGAGCAGACGATTTCGGTGACTTTACCCTCTTCGGCTCCTCCTCTGACGCTGCTCAGGCTTCAGCAGCAGGAGGAGCTGTGGCGGCCCCTCAGGACGACTTTGCAGACTTCATGGCGTTTGGCAGTTCTGGTGGGGAGCCTAAAGGTGAAAGCAGTGCGGGGGTCCAAGGGGAGCCCTTAACTCAGCCGCGGCCTCAGCAGAGCTCAGACAAGTACGATGTATTCAAACAGCTGTCTCTGGAGGGGGGTCTGGCCTACGACGATACTAAAGAGAGTGGAGGAGGATCCTTTTCTTCTCTTAAGAGCGATACAGATGACTTTGCCGACTTTCAGTCCTCGAAGTTCTGCACGGCGCTGGGGGCTTCAGAAAAGACTCTCGTAGACAAGGTGTCTGCTTTCAAACAGGGCAAAGAGGACTCTGCCTCCGTAAAGTCCCTGGACCTCCCATCTATCGGGGGGAGCAGTGTAGGAAAGGACGACTCCGAGGACGCTCTCTCGGTGCAGCTGGACATGAAGCTCTCGGACATGGGCGGAGACCTGAAGCACGTGATGTCAGACAGCTCTCTGGATTTGCCGGGTCTCTCGGCCCACCAGCCCCCCGCTACAGGTGAGGAACTAGTGCGATTGCTCTGGTGAGGGGCCCCCCCACCCCTTGTCCATTCAAACACAGTATTAATTTAAAGGCCAGCAGTGGCCTCATCCTCAGTGCCCAATACTGACCACCAAACAAGGGGTCAAAGGGCAAGGTCCTTATTGAATTGAATAATCTCAAACACTGCAGACAGACACTGTATGAATAACATATCAGATTGGACCCATCTCAACTTTCATTCTACATTTCATTATTCATATCATCTTATTTATTTATTTATTTATTTATGTATTTATTCAAATAATTTATTCCATCCTTTCCCTCTTTTTTCATGACCATATTTATCCTATTCCCTCCCGTAATACATAATTATTCTAATGACAGAGAGGTCTTGCTCTTATCTCTGTTAATCTACAAATGATGATGGATGTCTGGTTGGGATGTGTTGACCGTCGTGTTTACAGGGACTTGAATCAGCTCCATGTTTGTTCGGTTGACTCCCTTCAGTGTAGCGTTTGTCTCCACAGGCATGAATCTGTTTGTGCTTGTGTGCTTGTTGTTGAAATGACATGTCGTTCAACACAAACCAAAAACGATTGAACTGAAAGATGAGTGCAGAAGCCTGTACTATGAAGTGAGTTCAGCATACCAGGCTTATCTTTCAGTTTTGTGGCTCCTCTAACCCTAACAGAGGAGATCACACAAAGCTTATTATCAACCTGATAAGTTAACCCAGAGTTTGTTTGAGCGCTTTCACATTTAAAGGGGAGGTGTTATCAGCACAACTGTAAAGTATTAATCATATCTTTTTCAGTCATATTATATATATTATATCATACAGTAAAGACAAAGTTATTGTAGGTCCCCTGTATGAGGTGAGCGACTTTGCAGAACTAAAAATCCAGAGTTAACCCTGATTGATGCACAGGCCTCAGGAAGAGTGTTCCAGTTTGGTCGTCGTGTTTATCCAAATCAAAGGTCATTGCACAATAGCAAGTTAAACAAAGGCACAATCTTAAGCCAAGTTTTAACTTTTAAACTCTGGACTTTTGGTTTGTCAGTATTGGATTATATCATTTTGTTCAGTTGAAAAGGAAATGTACCCACATGTAGGACATTTTGCATGCACAACTGGAAACAGCTATTTTAAATATTAAATCACAAAGCAGTTGAGAATTTTGAACACGTCAAAGATGGATGTATCTTCAGGCCAGAGTGTGTGAATGTGATGTGTGTGTATTATTAACCTGCACTATCTCAGACTCGCCATGCAGTATTATTTTGGAAAACATCCATCTGATTTTGAGATTTTTCTATAAAAGCATCTTGCTTTGCCTCCCCTACCTCGCTTCCTTACTATTGACCTGCAACTTGATTTTTTTCTTGCTGCATCAATTTGTATGATAAAACAGTTAACTGAACTGTTTATTCCATAATCAAAGGAAAAAGACAAACACTTAATTGTTCTACTCTCTCGTATGAGGTTTTTTCATCTCAAACACAAAAACCGGTGACGTTTAGAGACGTCACCTTTGGCTCTGGGAGATGATCATATTATTATATTTAGATAGACAGATACATGGATGTACATTATTGATTCCACACTGTTCAGTCGTTTGATCCCTAAATTTACAACAATTTTCCAAAGACTATATTTGACAGATGAATCAATAATTATTGTCGCACTCATCATTTATTTAATGTAAATCGACCCAGTTTCTGTATTCATAAGGTAACGCCCCCTTCAGCTCTCCCTCTCCTCCTCTCTCGTGAGCTCATCTTTTATTCATCGAGCATCTCACCTTCATGTCATGGCTCATGTTACACATGAAACATTCAAGACTTATTTTAAATGTAACCTGAGAAAGACACATACATGTTGCCAGGTGAAAGCTTTACAACTGAAATATTAGAAGTTCAGATAATTATCCAGCTGGTTGATTTTTTTTTTTTTCACTGCATGGTACAGCTCTGCTCAACTCCACTCATTTTAATCAGCCCAGTTTCCAAGTGAACTAGCCGATAAGATTAAAGGTGGAAACACTGCAGAACCCTGATTGGTCAGAGGGAAAACCCTGAGAAAGACCCGAAGAACAAGGTTGATAGCATGTACATATTTTTAAATTATGTTTCCCTTTCAGAATCAGCAAACAATCACATTCACGATATGATCCTTCATCCTTCTTACATCTGTTCATGGAAGGTTTTTAAGTAATCAACAAAATAAAATTAAAATGAAATGGAAACGAGCACACACACGTTTCTGAAAATCATTAAACCTACTTTTTCCATGAGTAAAATATGCATCTTTAAGTACCTGCCTGTGTTTGAGCAGCATTGAAGACACAAGGCCTCGTACTATGTGCACTAGAAACAAAGTAGTGAAAGTACCAGTGTAAAGCAAGTGGAGTTGAGTAGAGCCGATCTGTCCTGTGAAGAGAAACATTAAAAGTCTTCATCTGACTACACTGACATGCTGTCACTCATGCATCCAACTCTGCATGGATAGAAGTTTTTTCTAATCTTTAAACATTTCAATCAGTCAATTATCACCCAACAACATGAACACAGCATCATTTAATCCAAGGAAGAGTTGATTCAAAAGCATCAATGTAAACATCCATTGCCTTATTTCAGTTTGTGTTCAGTGGTGACATAAAAGCGGCTCCTCTGTACTGATCGAGTGAGATGTGTTCAAACCCTCAGCCCATGGAGTGTAACAGTTATGCCGCTGACAGAGCCCAGTTTCACACAGAATACATTCCTTCAAAGGTTTTCTGCTGCTGTAACAGCCGCTTCACATTTCTCCTCAAATTGTATCTATCTCATGTTCTTGGAGAGCTCTGGGACTCACCTGTTGTTAACGTGTAGCAGGCCGAGCAATCCCATCAGGCTTTGCACTGTGTTTCTGTAAACTTAAAGAGACAGTATTTCTTTCCTGAAGTTCCTTTTGAGTGTTTGAGCACAAAAGGAATCTGATTTTGTTTGTTCTCTTTCTATTTATTTTACCGTTATCTGTGATATCGCAGCATGAACTATCATGTGTGTGGCTCAACAGACTGGCTCTCTGAGAACATAATGACGTTAGTATTACCCTTCCTGCCTTGCTTTTTGCTGCAGTGTGCCTGCCTTTTCAATTTGTGAAATTGACAAGAACGTTATACAAAATACAGTTTTATGCATACCAGTATTGCAAGTTGTTTTTAATGAAGGAACAAATGTATACATGCAGATTTAATAGTGTATTTTTATTACAGGAATATTAGCTACTTAAAAACTACTTGATCTTGATGTGATTCTCCGACGATGTAAATTGAGTGTAGCCTTCAGTATAAAGTAAGATTACAATGTTAATTGTATTTTAGGTTAACATTCCAGACTACACATTGTTTCCTTGAGTAGTAATGATGTATCTCTTATTTCTAAGGGGATATTTCAAGTTTGTGCACATTAGCCTGCTTTGACAAACAATCACTGTAGCAACAACAACAACAACAAAAAAAAGGATACTGTCTCTTTAAATCTGTTTCTGCATCTGTGATTGGATGTAAATGAAGGCCCTGTCTGGGATGTCAGGTATTAGGGTTGGCCCTTATTGTTTTCTGTAACCCTTTGAGAGCTTGAATCGTGTTCACGTTCTGTTTACACGCTGATTATTGTGAGAATGATTGTTAATGTATAAAAAAGGCAGCCTCTTAAATTGTGGCTCTGAAGTCCTCACTGATCCTTAAGTGCAGTTTGTACGCAGCCTTTCCAAACCAGCGTGAAGTGTTGGGATGCTGTGCCCAAATCCCCCCCCTCGTTCAGGTCCTCAAAGGGTTAATGCTTCCGGCCTTGGGCTTTTTCTTTGAATTATCTTTTCAACCTGGCTTTTCAAAGTGTTATGTATTCTTTTCCAATATACCTGTTGCTTTACAACCTGATAGTAAAACAAAGTTTGTCATCTCCCCAGAGTTACTGATTCTAGTCTGTGAATGTGCCTTCTCATTCTGGTTTCTGCTTCTATTTCGTAGGATAATCTTTGTTTTACCTTCTCGCTGTTTTTCTTCTTTTCTCCTGACTCTGCATGCCCTTGTACTCTAAATGACTGAATCTAATTTTACAAGTGTTAGTTTGACAAACCTCTTGTAATGATAGACCTCTTTCACAGTACTTTGTGACCTTTTCTCTTTCTCTCTACTCATGTTGTCGTAATAAATATTACTGTTGGTATTGCTGAAATGCGTACCGTCTTATTTTCTCCTTCCTTTCTCCTGAGAAGCTCTAAATTGATCTAATGACACGAAGCTTATAGAACTGGGTCCTTGTCAATTTCACAAATTGCTTTTTGTATGTGAGGGTTTTGTCTGGTAAAATAGGAAGGGTTCAACAAGGTCGGTTTGTGCGTGTTTGGGTGTGTAAGAGAGGGAGACCGGAATTCAGGAGTGCTGGCAAATTTGTGCAAGCTGCGCAGCGCTGTCAGCTCCTATTAGTCATAAAGAAACTGATAACAAACTGTGTTCTGTCAACAAAACATAGTAACTGACACAGGCCAAAACTGTAGTGAGAGGAAACATTCTTATTTATATTGTCATAGCAAAGCCTTTCAGGTTGCTTTTAGTACACAGAGATCAAGTCCAATTAGTGTCAGGAAGCTGTTTGTCATCAATGAAAACAGAGAGTGTCATTAAAGAGACAGAGTAAAAGAATTACCTACCAAAAAGACAGTGTTCCTGTTCAGTTCACTGAGTTTTAGTTAGATTATGGTAATGAATATTTATTTTCTCTTCTACATGATTCAGCTCAGACATAGAAATGATTTTAAACTCTAACATAGTGGATGTTACTGCTCTTACAACAACAGGAATCAGCCATTAACAGTAATCCTGAATGTGGATTATCATGTATGTGGTTGATGGTGTGTACAGAATCTGTTGGTGGGGTTCAATATACAATACATATGATTCACATCTTGACACTATTGACTACAAAGCTCGGGTAATGTCAGTAAAGTTAAGTCACTTCTCCAAAATGACAAAACATCCTGATTTTTAATAATTTGATCTTTTCAATAGTTGAGGTTTTATCTATTTGTCTTTTGAGATATCTCTAATATTTTATCCTCCATTTGGCCCAATGGAATTAAATAGAATGTTCTTTATAGACTGGAGATATATATATATGTCATTTCTAAGTCAAATCCACATGGACCAAATGCCAATATTACACAGGCACTTTTATTAACAGCCAGTTGCTAAATGTCAACATGTATATATACATGAAAAATTACTAAAACAAACTACCCATTTGTGAAATAACTAAATAATATTAAATAAAAATGCTCCTTTAATAAAATAAAACAAATCAATAAAGTTCCTATCCTGCATAAGAAAACACATACAGCTGTGTATTTTCTTAGGCAGGCATTTTTTTTTTTAGTTTTGTTCAGAGAGCGAGAGAGGTGCAGCAGAGTGAAGAGGGACATGCAGTGCGAGGAGAAAGAGGCAAACTGGTGGCTCTACTGTATTTATTTCTAATTTATAATCCTGTTTGCAAACACAATGTAATACTTGAATACCTTGAATCGGTGTGGAGGCAGAACTTTAAAGCCCATCAAAGCCAGCTGAATGGCTAGACACCACAAGATGTAAATAAGACATAGTTTCAGTAATTTAGCTAAAGTGACCCTTTAATATACATACAATCCCTGGGTCAAGACCTTATACTGTTAGAAGCATCTGATCTGTAGATAAGTAAAAACATGTTAATCCATCAGTTCATCATCCTGGCTCGTTGTTGTTCTGCCTTCATGGGAGCATTTCTAATGTTTCTAGGAACCACTGGTATGTCTGTGTTGTCATTACAGAGGGAGACGACATGAAATTTGACCCCTTTGGGACGTCGGCCCTCAGCACCCTGTCCAGCTATGACTGGTCAGACCGGGAGGAATGTCTGCCCGGGGAGGTCAGAAAGTCACAGGACATGGAAGGAGTTTCTCTTCCATCTTTAGCTCCTGCACAGAGGACAGAGTTGACCTTTGGCAGCTCTGAAAACATCACAGGCAGCTCCGCAGCAAAGATCGCTACCTCCTTCCCTGCCGAGGACAGCTCCTCGACAGACGACAAGTTCGAAGCCTTTGCTGATTTTGGCTCCAGTGACCATGGAGGTGTCGATGATGGGGACGACTTTGGGGACTTTGCCAGTACAATCTCGGAAAAGTCAGACTCGCCCCCTGCCAGCACGGAGACAGGCTCCGAGGGAAATCAAGGGGAGGCCTCTGACGAGTTTGGAGCATTCCAAGGGGATAAGCCCAAGTTTGGCAAGTCTGACTTCCTGAAAGCAAGCGCTCAGCCCAAAGTCAAGTCCAGTGAGGAGATGATCAAGAACGAACTGGCAACATTTGACTTGTCTGTCCAAGGTGAGTTACAATATCATGTTTCTTCTGTTAACATGTCATAGAAATGCAACGTTTTTTATTCAGAATTTATACAAATCAGTCACACAAGAATTGAACTTGCAGACCAACTAGTAATAAGAATAATCATAACTTGCAGCCTCCAATCAGTTTTATTGAATATACATTTAGAAGAATGCTTTTGATTTTTTTCGAACCCAGGATGAATATTTTATGAAATTTACAGCAAAAGGCAGCAGATAACCTTTCAGCAGCTTTTTCACGTGTGTGTTTGTCTGCTTGAAAAATGACTTTTGTGTTGATAACAAACTCTTGATAAACTGATTGCTTTCAGGGCTTAAATTAAATGTCAGTTTTCAAAAAAAGAAGCAAAAATTAAAAGCCTGTGGAACTCTTGCCCTTGGCACTAAAATGGCCCTCGAACACTGTCTTCAATCATCTTCCCTTATCCTGCCCTCACATGTGACGTCCATTGGATCTGTAATAAAGCTGTCAGACATTAGATGGCAGTGTTGAGATGACAGCCGTGCTCTAATGGCAGTGACTCCTGAGAGATGGATTAGAGGAGACCAACAAATCCATGAGCAAAATGAACCGTATCCACTGAACGGCAGCTGGTTTTCAAATCGCTTTTTGCTGTTCTTGTGTCCCACATATCATTGATGATTGTTTCACTGCACTGTGATATAAGCCCATTTGACTCCCAGACTCATCTCCTTACACTGGATTTAATTTGTGTAAAGAAGAGGGCTAACTTGGCTCATCTTCTCCTAGTGGAACAGTAATCCAATCATGGTGGGGATTCTGGTGTTGTTGGGAGGATGACGCATGTCTCTGTGGGGGGTGAGGGGGGTGGTGGTGGGGGGGGGGTTTGATTACCTGCGTCAGTACAACCCTCACACACACACACACGCACTAAATGGAAGCCCCATTGGAATAGTCTGAGGCTTAGCATGTGTTTGTTGTGATACCCTGCCAGGATCTGTCCGTCTGCGAGTCCCTTTGAATTATTCATACCTGCATATTTGTGCATCTATTTTGTACGTAATTATTGTTTGTCACAAAATAAGTATTTACTCATGCCGTTCTCGTCCAGGAGGAGTAATCTGCAACAGAATGTAATGATTTTAAACAAACAGGTGCATCTCTTGAAATAAGTCATTAACAGGGCCTGATAAACAATGACCTCATCATTGTTATAAAATAATTTTTGTCTTTTTGCTTCTTGCTAACATTATTCATCCCCTTTCCTCTGTTCTCTCAACCTCAGGCTCCCACAAGCGCAGTCACAGTTTGGGCGACAAAGAGATTGGGCGTTCCCCTCCCTCCCCTGCCCCAGAGCAGCCATTTAGAGACCGGTCCAACACCCTGAGCGAGAAGCCTGTCCTGCCCGTCATCAGGGACAAGTACAAGGACTTGACTGGGGAAGTGGAGGTGAGGAGGATTCTACTTTATCCGCACCACATGTCAGCTCTGTTAACCTCCACACGATCTGTCCTGAACACATGAATCATGACTATTGGAGGCTACAGAGCTGAGAAATGATCATCTGTTCTTTGCTGTCTTTGCTGTGCCTGTTGTAAATAATGTTGTGCTTGTTGTTGAAGGAGAGCGAGCGCTACGCATACGAGTGGCAAAGGTGTCTGGAAAGCGCTCTGGAGGTTTGTTTTTGTTTTTGTCCTATGTCTGACTTCATCAGTAGGCGAGAGTATATTATGAGTGTGACAATACAAATGTAGATTCATTTTGATCAACAGCAGGTGCTCGAAGCCAGTTGTAGCACTTTAAGGACATTTTCCTTATTTTGAACATTCAGGGGTTAAAGGCTAACACGCCTAAAGAGGAGAAAACATGGCAAACATTTTGGACAAACAAACAAGGATAGTTACAAAAAAGCAGGAGTTGTAATGGTGATGAATATACTTGTCAACTGTTGCATTATAATGGTGATGTTGAGCAAAAATCAGAAGCATGTCATAACCGGTCTGTAATCCCACATTCAGGTCATCACCAAAGCAAACAACATCCTGAACGGCATCAGCAGCTCCTCTGTCTGCACTGAGGTCATCCAGTCTGCTCAGGGCATGGAGTACCTGCTGGGTGAGGGATCACAAACACACACTCATGCACACTTACACACGACACTACACAAGCATGGATAGTTGAAGAACCCTGTATGTACCGTTACACCCTACTGAAGGACAGGCGGGATAAGATTAGAACGAGCTCTGGTGGGTGATGGCTTATCTCTGCCTCGTCTGACAAGGTCCCTGCTCCCTTATTGTGTTCCTCTGCCTTTAACGAGCTGTGAGTGGCAAACATGTCTCAGTAAGGGCCTGGGCACATTCTGCCTCTTCAATATAAAACAAAGAGAAGCAACGAAACATGTTTTTGTGATTGCTCTTCTTTATTTCTCTTCCAGGTGTGGTAGAAGTGTATCGCGTCACCAGGCGCGTGGAACTGGGCATAAAGGCGACGGCCGTGTGCTCTGAGAAGCTTCAACAGCTGCTGAAGGACATCAGCCGTGTCTGGAACAACCTCATAGGCTTTATGTCGCTCGCTAAGCTCGCTGTAAGTCACGGAGCACATGATGGAATTACAGTTAAAGTAATGGAAAGTATCAAACATATTGGAAGTAGCGCCCAGGTATGAAAAATGAAGCCAATATGGTGGTGCCTTAAACCTGCATTATTTGCATAGTCATGGCCAACAGGGAATTCCCCTCCTTTTTACTTGATTTATTTATTTCTATCACTGTTTGCTCTAAATCTGACACACGGTCACACACTTTCTGGTTTTTCTATCATTGTGGGGACTTTACGTCACACTACTTCTTGTTTTGATGTTAATGTGTGGACTTTTCCTTATACACACTTTCTAGTTTTAGTATCTTTGCAGGGACTTTCTGGTTTAAATATCATTCAAGAGATTTTTTTGACAAACTCTCTTCTGGGACTTCTTCTGACCCACTTTTCTGGTTAAATTTTTCCAATGGTCTAACATGCAAGCTTCAAGTCTTTTTTTAACCCATCGTGATGTTGACTCTGTTAATTATGCTCTCATTTAGGGAAAGTAGATGATAAAGCAGGATACTCGTTAGGGCAAGGCCACATGATCTTTTGACAGTTACTACTAAAATGACCAGCCTATCAGGATAGTATCAAGCTGGCATAAAGAAAATAACAAGAAGGCCTCGGTTGAAATGCCAAACTCAGTGTGTGTCTGTGAAAATGACAGACTAAAAACCAGTGGGTGTCTTTACCGTTACCACATTTACTTCTTATACACTGTCTTATAAATGTATGCAGCTGCTTGGGCTGCATTTTCATTTCATCCAGACATGTTTCAACTTTTGAGTTCCAGGTATACCAATATGCATGAGAATAGAGCATATGGTTCTATACGCAATGATGAAAGCTGCCAATAGAAGAATGAAATGTTAGTGAATCCAGTATTGTTGGTCCATTATCTTAAAATCAATGATCTATCGATTCACTAGCTGGAGCCTCTCTGGTAGGCCATGTGTTCAGGTCAACAGGGATGTCAAGGACTCTATAGATTTATTTATCCAGCTGGTTGCTGGAGCCTGTAAAGTAGAGACAGAGGAGAAAGGACGTTGTCTACAGCAATACTGCTTTCTATACTGTGGAAGAACTTGCATTGTGTCTCGAGAAGTAAAAAATAAAATGTTTTAATTTAAGAGAGTAAGCTATTTTAAAGACAGAAAGAAGAACATGCTACTATTGTTTGTTTTGATTCCACGTAGTAAAAGTCAAGAAGAGCATTTATATAAAGTTGATGATGCTTGGAGATGTTTACTATAAGCAGACTTGTTTTTATTATTAGAATAGAAATGCTACATTTTCCCTGCAGCAAGAAATACAATTATTTTCTGTGTGTGTGTGTGTTTGTGTGTGCAGCCTGATGAAAGCTCCCTGGATTTCTCCTCCTGTATTCTGAGACACGGCATCAAGAACGCCAAGGAGTTGGCTTGCGGGGTGTGTCTGCTTAACGTCGACGCTCGCAGCAAGGTTTGTGTACACACACACACACACACTCGCGTGCATACGCAGTGTTTGTGTAAGCATTTTTACATAAATATTGTTGTGCTCGTCCACAGTGGATAACAATTGACATTTCTTTGACTTTGAAACGTTTTGCAGAACAAACAAGGAAGCACTATTGGACGTCTGTTTAAACGAGTATGAGACAGTTAACTGTCGCCCAAATCTCATTCCACTCTTCCCACTGGGGGCTTTGAGGGGGCCGATTCTTCTTTTTCAGACGAGCCCAGCGGGGGGGGCAAAGTGACAGGTTCCACTGCTTCTCTCTCACATACAATCATCAGTGGTCCAAACAGACAAACTAACAAAAAGAATCTGAACAAAATCACTCTTCCAAACTTCAACAGGTGGATCAATTTACTGTCCGCTTCGCCCTGCTCATCTTAGCTCCTATCTGTCAAGTGAATTTTGAGAGAATTAAGTCATTGAATTGTAGTACTGTCCTTGTCCCATTATACAATCATGGGGGGTTGCCTGCCATGCTAGTTAGCCTGACATGCTTATACCTTAAGGGCAGCAAACAAATGGTTAAATCACAATAAAATGCAACATCCTCCATAATATGTAAATACCAGGTGTAACTGTAAAGAGCCCCAATGTGCACGTCTTTATCACGATGAGAAACCCTGCTTAGCATGCCGTGTTACAGTTGCTAAGTGCTTAATAGTCAATCACTGTTAAGTGGGGGAGTGGTTTCATGAACAGGCAGTAGTCTCCCAAAGTAAATACTGAGGCTGACAAAGGTAGTACTGTGAACTCTTGAAATAAGTGAGAGAGGAGAGCTGTCACTGTGGCCCCTCGGGCGGGTTTTTGCACTCTGGGATTGGGTCTTTAAGGTCACAAAGGTCGTTCCTTTGTCTTGGAAGGGTTTCATTTTCTGTTCTGTCGCCTCTCTGTGGAGCTAACTGCTCACCTCATCACTTTCAGCTAACAGCACTTCGTTGTTTTTTTTCTTCTGATAACCGTTCAGTTATTAACTCTGACTGGGGCCCTATAAGCAGACGTTCTGTATGTCCAGCTCCTCGCCTACAGGGGCCGTGGTTTTCATCAACGTGGGCCATTAATGGTGTTCTTGAGCCCCGCTGTTTGGAGGGCAGGACGTTGATTGTTCCTCCTAGTCTCTCTACTGCTCAGTCAGAGCCAGATGGATGAACTGGGCGAGATATAGCTGACTGAGAGGCATCCAGAATGTGAGCAGATGTGGCTTGCACATTTGTCAAAAGCAGGCAGTACAGCTGATAAAAGTCCCGCAGACTCCCTCCCTCACCTCACACTCTCGTGTTTGCAGAGGCAGGCTGAAAATTAATGCAGTTTTATTTTGTCGCTGTGCCACCAGCGTGAGATTAGTAACCCATCTTTTAATTACATTTTTGGCAGAGGCACACTGGCAAGAATGCACAAAAGCTATCCCTTCAGAGCATAATGAAGTGAAAGCGCAGCTCTGGCCACCACAGACGCCACTGATTGTTGTATTGTCCTTTCGTGAAGAGGTAATGATTTGTTATCAAGCGAAGGTACAGAAGGGTGGCCGTGTTAATGTGGCATCAAATAAATGTGAGACATGCTTGACAGCATATGAACTCAATGGCTCCTGCTTAAAGCATGCTCTGAATTTTAATGTTTGTAAAAATTCTTCAGAATTTGTATCAAATTTGTCAACACAAATTGAGCCAGAAATAATTTGTCTTAAATCCAGGCATAGCTGAAATCATCCACAGAGGTTCTCTGTCTCATCCTGCTGCTTTTTGGATGATTCATTGTGAGAAACCACAATTGTGTCATCTCTTTTTTCCCGCCCTTCAGGTCAGGAGGTGGAGACGGGCAACCAACAGCAGCATTTTCAGTTTGTCAGTCAAAAGCTGAAGCAGTTTGATCAAAACGGCCACTTTTCAGTTAATGATTCCCAAGCACTTCTCCCCTGAATGATGGTTTGAGCAATCACTAAAAGCACTAAAACTGATTTTAAGTCGCACAATTTAGCATTTATGGCCATTCATCTAAATGCTGGTTTCTGGAGTGCCGGAGGATTTAGATTGATTAAAGTGTGCAGCTTTTACTAAAGAAAGCATTGCAGCAGTGCTTCAAGAAGTTTCTCTCAAACGTTTCATCGTCTCAACATTTTAACTTGCAAAAATGTGTTGTGGTTGCCAATCTCTGTCACTGCCACTTTATTCAGCCCGGGTTAGCAGTGTTTTTGTACAGGTTGATTAAGTCAGAGACTACTTACTGTATATAACACTGATATAAGTTGGAGGAGAATTAGCAACAATCCTGTCTGAAACAGTTCAAACTAAACCAAGAACTGAAATTGTTCAACATCTGTTCTGGTTATTTTCCATCTTTAGAATATTTTCAGCTTCAGATGACTTTTATGTTTTCAAGCTCTGCTGTCAATCAGAACAAAAGTCCACTGACAGTGAGAGCACAGATGTTTTGGTTAATCACAGATGAAGGTATTCAGTGTGAATGTGAGAGTTATTCAGTGTCAAAGCACAAATCTGAAATTCGTTGTGACAGTGCTTTGTGTGATGATATCAGCTAACTAAAACTATCAGGGATACTCTCTGGCTCATCATTTCAATCAGCTTTGAACACCACTACAGTCAGTGGAAAAGTGGTAACACCATATACTTTGAAACTGCTTTGTACCTCTACTGGTGATTCATTCACAGTGAGCTTCATTGAAACTCAAGAATCAAATGGAAATTGATGAAAGCAGGAAAATCCTTAAAAGTAGGCTTGTGTCTTATCCCTTCTAAAAATCAGTTCACTGGCCATTTATTGACATCAAGTCTCAGAAAACTTGCCAAAGAACCGAAGTTCAAGAGGATTTAATTTTTGCAAATCATCAAAGAAGAGTTTGTATTTTAACCAAAATGTCTGCTGTTGGAGCAGCTGATGGCAAACATCAAGCCAGCTGTTTAAAGGTGAAAGAAACCCCTTTAAATCACTTTATTTCTTTAGATTTGATGACCACAATTTAACAGATATCTTATGCACGATCTACTGGACAGTTTCTTGGCAGATGCACCTGGAAAAAAAAAAAAAAAGCTGTTCAAGTGACTGAAATCTTGAATCATACCTTTTGGATTATCTGAAACTGAATCTCTTGAAAACTGTGAATTGAAATGTGTAGGAGCCCAGAGAGTAATAACTCGACTTCTTTCCTGTTTTAACCCACAAGCTCAAGGGGAATGGGGAGCTCTGTCCTGGTGACACACAGCTGATCTGAATGTTTGCTTGCTGCTCTAACATTTGATTTTCTCCGCTCTGGGCATTGCATGAACATGCTGACTCCTCTTGTGCTTACAGGCTCTGACTAAAGACAATGACAGAAGGGTAAGGGGTAATCACGCATTATTCATATCCAAGACATAAGAAATAGTGCAATATAGGTTTGTATTTACTCTGGAAGGGTTTAAATGATATTCCACCAGATGGAGCCCAGTTCTGAATCTCTAACCTTTACATGAAACTTAAAAAGGTCAGGTGAATGATTAGAGTCACTGTTTAATCTGAACAGCCACAGCTTCAAAGCATGACTTCTCATATTCTTGTTTCAACCTGCCTTAAAGACAAACAGTTTCTGTCCAGTCAAAAAAGAATAAATGGCCGTCTATGCACTGCCATACACAGGTGAAGTTAAAGGAAAAAGTTCAGGTTTGAGACGGAAAGGCACTGCAGTGAAAGAAGGCTGTATTACAGTGCTGCTTTTATGTGATCGCCCTTTCATATAGCATCCTCTCCCTCCCAACGTTTTCCCAGCTTTGGCAGCTGTAAGTGCAGGTTTGTGGAAACATGTAGGCCAGGGCACAAAAGAGCTCGGAAAGGAAATCGCTCTGCCTGTGAAATGCAAGCGCGTGAGTAAACGCAGAGAGTGGATATGTGTCATTCGGTTTGCGTGAGAAAGCCCGTCACCCCGTTTAGCATCTGTGCTGTAGACTGCATCCGAGCAGGTGGAGACGTATCTGACTTCAGTGTTGTGTGTGTGCAAAGTTGCTACGTGTGTGTTTTATTTATTTTTTTAATGCAGTTGTTGCTTTCTGCATGCCTCTCTTGTCTGCGTGGGAGGCTGTGATTCACTGCACATGACTCATTCCTCTCTACAGCTTCAGCTCCCAGTATTTCACCGCAGGGATGCAAACTCTTCAACGGCACATCGTACACATGAGCAGCTCCAAGTTGGGCGCACACACACAGTGCTACAGTTGGACCCAGTGGAAAATGTGCATCAGCAGCACTGCAGCCTGGGTCAGATCATGCAACATGTGGAAGAGTCCCTAAAGTTGAACAACATTTGAGGTTTTAAAGAAACAGGTCTTGTTTTCTGCTGCTACAGAGCATGAGGGCAACATTTGAGTCTCTTAACTCTGACCTAAGGTGAATAAAACGTTGTCTCAAAGGTGATCACTCGCACATTCTTCACTCAACTTAGAGACTACATTTGTACGTAAAGTCAGGGTTGTTTTGTGACACATATGACTGATGTGAAACAACACTGTTTCAAAGTTTTTTCCCCTCTCTATCTGGCTAATTTGGTAACTTTTTGTGAGATGTTATCTTTTTATTTTACAGATAATATTCTCCCATTCGCTCCCTCATTTGCCATAAAACTGCAGATGTAGCCCCTTATGATCAGGGGCTTTAGTCAATGCCTACATGAGAGAGTCCTTATGAACGTGCTTGTAAACAAATTGGCTTTACTGAGGAAGACTTGATAAAGGAGCATGTCTTAAAGCTCCTGTGAGGAGTTTTTAGCTGGTCATGAAGCAAACCGGTATCAATACTGATGATATAAGCCGCACCAACATCCACACAAAGTTCCTCAGAGAGGCATGTAACACACACACTATAACTGGATCTCAAGTGCATGTAGAATGTATAAAGAGATGATTGTTCCATTTGAGGTCTCTGTGTCTCCCTCAATGTCATTCGGTGAATAAACAATGAGAAGTCCGTGGCACGCTGAAAATAACTTGACTACATTTTTATTGTGCGCGAACAACGCGTTTCACTTGTAGCTCCTCAGGTTCGCCCAGCACAATCACAGGGCACACATTACACAGGTGCGTTATTAGGTGAATGTTTATTTCTTCCAGCACAGTCTCAGAAATACCTAAGAGACTGTTCGTCCTTCACAAATCTCAGAGAGAGAGAGTTTAAACGTGCTGCAGTTTGTTGTGCTTTGAAATCAACCACAACAGCATTCTTCAGAAAACCTTTCTCATATTTATTTGGACTCTTTGGAAAATCTTAACATTTTTATTCAGAAGTGAGTCATAAGATGTTCATGCGTCACTACGTAAATACTGATTTGCACATTGCAGTTGTACCTATTCCAGGTTGTACATTATTTATATGCAGTGGAAGTTTTTTTTCCGACCGTCTGCATAAGAATTCAAAATATATTTTTATGCAGGCTATTTAAACAAATGAGACACGCAGGTATTTTATGCATGCAAACGTGTGTATTATAAAATCTGTTTTTCTTGCTGAGGCATTTTCTCTCCTACGACTTGGCTGCAGCATACAGCAGGGTCATGTACACAACAGCTGAGCTGTTCAGCACAGAGCTGTTATTATAACGGATGTGGATCACACTCTGAATGATGACTTAGGCCAGTTTTAGGATCCACTCTTTAAATCTTCGACGGGGTACACTTAGAACATTCTTTAATGCTTCAAATGATCAATCCTGGTTGTGATTTGTCCTTTTGTTCCTGCATATCTGTCGCTCCTTCTCCTGTGTGCACAGACACGTTTCATGTCTCAATGTTTCAGGTTTGTAATATTTCAACGTTTCACTCTAACAGGCGTTCAACTCGGAGACGGACAACTTCAAGCTGCTGTATGGAGGCCACCAGTACCACGCCAGCTGTGCCAATTTCTGGATAAACTGCGTAGAGCCCAAACCCCCCGGCCTCATTCTACCTGACCTGCTATGAGCTTTGGCCACCGCTGCCGTGGCAACGGGTCACAGAAAATTGTCAGACAGGTGGACTGACGACTCCCTCGCACTGCACAAGCTCTCACCTTGGACTGTGAGCGAGAGAAGGATGTTAAAAACACTGGATCCCTCTGTATTTATTGGCTTTTATCTGCATTCCCTCCTTTTTGTCACGGTTTTAATGAGCTCAGCTGCTACCCACGCTGAGTTTATGTTCACATCTGGATGTTTGTTAAAGATTTTCTCCAAATGAGTACCATCTCCACATCTGTTCTTCCACATGATTTACATACTTCACCTGTATTTAGGTATAGCTTACGTTCAGATCAATCAATAGTTATCCTTTTAACATTAATTTCACTGAAGAAAATGTAAATATATCTAAATAATATCTTATAAGTGGCCAATATTTATTACATTAGGTGTGCAATATCTTTGACTATACTGGCAGAAGTCTATCCCCCTCTTTAGTATATCTTCTGTTTGAGAGGACTTGGATTCATTATTCTTTTTGTTTCTAGTGAATGAGCTCTGTTGATCATAAGCCTCTTACTGTATTTTAATTATATTTGTCGGTCTGGTCTGTTATATGAAACTCTCTTTTATTAAATTTTTAAAATCTTGAACTTCTCAAATCATTCTCGCTTATGGCAGGTGTCTACATTTTAATGAATTGTGTTCAGTTATCTGCTTTGAATGTTTATTTGCACTGTCGAGGAGATTCCCTCACCTCTTTGGGTTTTTAAATTGTGTATTTAACTGGGAACAAAAAAGTTGTGACTTTTGGGGGACTTGAAGGGAACCATGTAAACGGTTTAGTTTTTATCTGTCTTGGCATTTTGTGCAACTTGAGCTGAAATTTCCAGAAGAGGTCTGTGATTCTGAACGAAGACTGCAGCAGCACTTTTTGTATGTGACAGTGTCCCGTGTAGAATTGTCATAAAGACTTACTGTAATGTGAATGTGATGTAAATAAATATACATACATCTTATTTAAAGTGTCACAGGTTGTTCTATTGGTCTCCAAAACCGAACCCTAACCCATCAACTGACTTCTTAAGCTTCCTTTAATACATTTAGCTAACTATAATATAATATATTATTAAATTTAAACTAAAGAGCTCAGACCATCCAGAGGTTATCTATCTCAACACAAAGATTTAAACCAACAATAAGTTAATGCTAGGGCTAACTAGCTTCATAAGGCTACTTCATATCAAAGTGTTGGACACAGATCACTATGGGGCTGTCATGCATGATCCTTTAAGGTCTGTACTTTGAAAACTATTCAACTGCAACCTAGATAAAGTCAGCTGGAGATGTTTTTTTTTTTTACCTGATGTATATTATAAACAGTGCTTGCATTAGTCTGACTAAATTGAGCTGATAAAACAGACAAAATCCATGAGAAGTGTGCAGTTTACAATTTATTAAACCACATCTGGTCATATTTAACCTTTTTTTTAAGATTTAACCAAAGCTACAATGTGTTGAAATAAAAAAATTAGAGGTGCGGCCTGATTTTCGTCCTTAGGCAATAGCAGGTTTGGTGTTCAGCTTTTAACACTTCCTTGGAGAGCAAATTACTATGTTCTGAAAAAAGATCCATATATTTCTTTTGCCACGCTTTTGTAAATCAGCAGTGTTCCTTTTGTGTCGTAGAAGTATTAGTGTTGGTGTTTGTTTTTTTTTAAAGTCTGAGGGTATTACAGTTTTGAAATGAGATGATCGTTTAACTGACATTGACTTTGATGTTATTCGTCCTGCTCCTCCATGAAGCTTCCTCTTCTAAATGCATGAATGTTGCAGCTCATTTTTCCTCCATCATTTCACTCAATATTGTACTTTCTCTGCGCCCAGAGGCCTCATCTCCATCACTTTGTGACAAAATGGAATAAATTCTCCATCGACAAGCCTGCGGGCCATTGCTGGTGATCTCGCCTCAGCCAATCACGAGATGTCCGGGGGCTCTGTGAAACCAGTCTCATTATCAGTCCCACTTTTGTTCAGGTGTGTTCTCCAACATCCATTTTATCTCCCACTGTTCTCTAATTTATTTCCTGCAGAAAATGAATTCCTCTCCTCTCACAGTGAACATCGGGATTACAGAAAATTACAAGCATGGAAATCAATTACTGACTTAAGGCTGTGTAATTTGAAATGCCGAGCGTCTCCCTCTTTCCTGAGCCTGTCATCTCCACGCCGATTGTCTTCGGTGCTGTGCTGAAATGAGCACTCTGGGAGGGGAGCGAGATTGAAGTGATTCTGTATTGACTGCTGCCCTTTGGTATTTCACGTCCACATAAGCTTTATTATTGATCGAAAAGACAGCTGCTTCTCTTAAATTCAAAAGATTGCCTTTACCCATGAGGATGAGAGTTGCTTCCACTTTTATTTTTGTCCTGATAAGATTTCATTTATTCACAAAATATCTAGTTTGGATGCTCTGAGTAAAACTGAAAACAATCCAGAGCGCTTCCCATGCTGAAAAGCCAGACTCTTCTATTCTACATTTCTTTGTAGAATCTGTAAATGGAGATTAACGTTCCTTAAACAGGAGTAGTGAGGGTAACTATTTTCACAAGTAGCTGAATAACAGCAGCTGTATGCAAATGAAGCAACCATGGGAATAAGATGTAACAGCAACCTCCAGTTTGGAAATATGAAGCCAATGCTGAAGTGCAAAAACACTGCAGTTCCTTGAGTACCCACTTGACGCCGACTGCAAAAGCAAAGGAATCTGCAGTACTGTAGGCCATTTGAATATCAGAAATAAACATTTTACAAACATAGCTTTGGTCGCAAAAGCTAATTTCTTTATTTGTAAAAACGGTCGTAGGGTGGAGTTACTCATCCATTTTGTTTATATTAAGGATTAAAGTTTTTTATACATTTGGCTGTGGCTGAGTTAATCGACAGGTGGGTGCGTTGTAACGTAGGAATCTTTTCCTGCTTCTCAATTAGCTGGAAGTTAGATGGAGTCAGCATTTTCTATGTGGCGACCGCCGTTGTAGGGCCTCATAACACCACTCAGAAACCGCTGGGTCACTGAGAGTACGTCCATGTTTTATATAGTCAAAGGAACCTTCAGGATTAACTCCTTGTTGGTTTTTGTCTTCTCACTGGATTTGCTCCCAATGAGAAAATTACAGAAGATCAACAGAGTTATTGTTTAACATTAGTCCTCTGTTTAATCTCAAAGTAACCACAGACATTAAACACTTGTGTAGATATATGATGCCAGAGTTTCACCATTAATGACCCGGACACAAACGTGAGTCATTCCTACTGTTCAGACGTTCTGCTCAAATTTATTGCAGCTCTGTGTCTCACAGTCTTTGCTTCATAGTCCGCTCCATCAATCTGTTCAGACAGTTGAGGCTTTAAAGGCGATGGACGGATGAGTCACACCCCAGAGACGACACACTCACACAGCTGCTCACTGAGGAAGAAAGACTTGTTTCACTACAGCCGAGGTCTCCTGTTGAGCTTAAGATCAGCCTAAGACTTTTAACTCACACATTTAGGAAAGGTTATTTTTAATACTTCAATTTCTGTGTTTGATCAGACTAACAGGAAACACCAAAAGCATTCAACTTCAGGGCCTGTTTGTTTTTGTGTTGGATGCATACTTTGAATCACTGTCAGAAGTTAAAGCATGCGTTGCTGTGCTGCTAAATCACGCTGTCGTATTAGAACTACAACGAGGGTGGTGAGGTGGTGAAATTGAAGCAGCAGTGAAAGCAGCATGTTTTTATTAATGACAGGGCCGTGTGCGTATGGCCTTGTTAAAATGGAAATTCAAGATTTACATCTATTGATACGGAGCATAGCTCATGCTGATTATAGTGAATTATTAAAGGCTACATAATTCAAAGCCCAGAGTGGCCATGATTCAGAAAATCGTCGCAGCTATAGCAGATGTTCATATTTGCCACCTACCACCCCATCACATACAGAAGATTTTGTCAACACAAAGTTGCAAGGTAGAAATCAAAAATCCCCTAAATACATTAGAATATTATTATCATATCAGGGTTGAAAACAACCAATGTAAAGATATCTAGTCTTAAATAATTGGACTAATCCAGAATGTCGCCTTACACAAAAGTCAAAGCAAAGTTCTGAATATGTGGCGATTCAATTATAGTTTGATTTTTTCCCTTGATTACGCAACCTTCCCGATGTTCAGGTGACACGCCCCCTGCACACAATATGAAGATTTGTCATTGATATTTATGATCTTGGTCTTGGTCTTGTCTCGGTCTCGGTCTCGGTCTCGTCCTGCCTTGGTCTTGTCTGTGTCTTGATCCCTAAATGTCTTGGTCTTGTCTTGGTCTAACTACCATGACTGTCAGTACAAAGTTTAATGTACATTTTGAGTCATTTAAATGTTAATGAACTGCTGGAACAACAAACTGACATTGCCATCCTTCAAGCATTTTGCTAAACTGCTAACTCTAAATATGAGTAGGTTTAATTTTGAATGCTGTTTTTTGTCTTATATTCTCTTTTATATTACTGAAAACTGAACATGAAATTTTTTTTATACATATTCTTTCCTGTTCCTAAAACCTGCTGCTTGGCACAGTTCCTCATGTGTTTTTCTCAATCATTTCTGATATATTATACACTTAAGTGAACTAACAAATCAACACGACGCAGCAGTTTGTTGCAGCTCACCTGTGTCCGACACTTCCTGTTGAGTTGCTTCTGTCTGGTTTTCATCTCCTCATACTTCATTAGCGTTTTCGTTCTGCTTGGCCTGCTGAGCTGTAGTCTGCACAGCCTCTGATGCTCAGGATGATGCAAATCTTTCCGCTAACAGCTGTAATGATAGATGATAATATTCTGCTCCTCCTGGTGAGGGATGCGTTTACTTTTAGTGCTCGACTATTCCTTAGAAAGGTTGTGCATTAACACAGCAAACAGACAGGAGGTAGCAGGAGAATCAAAAATGTGAATTTCCCTCTCTTTGCTTTAAGAAAATTGTGTTTGCAGTATGTAATATGTGCCCATCACTTTTGCATCTCTGTCATCAGACGGGCCTTGTGTCTTTCTGTAATGGAATTCAGTGTGAGACCACTCCGAGGTCCCCGGAGGTGTGAGCACAATATGAGGAGCGCTCATCAATATCTGCCTGCTGCTCTGTGTAGTCACAGCAAATAAAAAAAAAATGACAGAATGCCTCTTTGGTGTCTCAAAGACATCTCTGGGGGGAAATTGTCCACGCAGAATGAACATTTTGGAGGACAAAATGCTCCAGCCTGCCTGTTCAAGTGAAAACATCTCAGAGACATCAAAAAAAGATAAATAAAAAATACCAGTAAATAAATAGAACCATCTTACACAAAAAGTCGTCTCTGTGGAGTCGCTGTGGAGTCCAGTAATATTAGCGTGCATTGTCAGTTGACAATAGGGTCTTATTTGTTTCATAACCCACCCCTCTGCTTGTCAACAAATGCATGTCGTCTGTGATGGGGAGCCGTGACAGCGCGGTGTATTATGACAGTTGCACTCAGCAACCATTGGTCGGCGCCAAAGCACACCAAACCGATTGGCTAAATAATGTTGCTTTAACCTTTGTTGAAAAAGCATAACCGCACTGTTCTCTGCTCTTCTCATCACCTTATAGAACATCACTGCTGAGTGTGGATGGTTAGACGTCTGACACACTGACATATTTTACTGCATTAAATGGAAGGGTGAAGGTAAAACACAACAGAAATCTTATATCTGCTAGAACTTCTAACATTTCTGAAAATCTGCCAAGAAACAGGCAACAGGCTGTAAAAGGCTGCAATATGATCCTGATGTTAATACATCGATTAGAAGTGCTTGTTTTTGCCACTGACAGGCTTGGAAAGTTTTTCTTGATGACCGAAAACCTCGTGAAAAATATTTGTTTAGAAATAGATGTCATGTTTCACTGCCATCCTTCTGCATCAACAGTCCTTTTGAGGATTCAGAGCCCAACCTTCTGTTTACACAAAAATGTAAATTTCTTAACAGATGTCGAGTAATTGCAACAGTGATCTGAAGCTGTAAGTAGCAAAAACACACTTTGCATTGCAACTATCTCAGCCTGTTGCAACAACTCTGGCTGAGGTGCTCTATCCTGAAGCTATACCCTAACATTCTCCTATTAGTTGGTTGACCTGTAAAAGGTGTAAACATATGGCCAAGCTCTAACAGTAAAGGAATTACCTGTTGAGAACATGACTTTAAGAGTCTTATGGAGTACCAACGTTTCTTGTCTCACCCCTCTAACTATTTAGCGCTGCATAATGCTTTTTGGTGTGAGTACAGCAAAGTCAAAATTTGAACCAGCAGATAAAAGAGAGGGATTTCGTCCTGTGTGACATCACTCACCAGGCCAGTTTACATACAGATATAAAACGTGTTTTCCACGCTGCACTGAATTTTAACAGCTATCCCACATGTTGACCCAAGGCAAAAACAGTAGGTAAGAAAAAACTCTGCAAAGCTTTTATAATAGAGCTACCAGCCCCCGCGAGGCAGCAGATATTTTCTTTTAATACAGCATCAAATATGACTACAATAACATAGTGTGGTCACAGGATGAAACAGTGAACCCTGTGCTACACAGGAACTTTCCCTAAACCTTGACTTTTGTTTACATCCTATATATTTTCACCTTTAAAAAGGTTTATATGCTAACATCTTTAAAGATTTTCTGTCCCATGAAACATGTTTTTCCTCACTATCAATACATTCAAATAAAATACTTTATTTTTAATATTTTTTCTGTACATTAACTTAAATGCTACCATGAACTGAGAGCATGCTGCTGCCCTTCACACTAAAGACTACCGCAAAACTTGCACAAAACCACCACATGACACCACGTCAGGAAAAGGACTTCAGGCACATCTCTGTCAGAGCTGCAGAGTCTCTCAGCTGACACCTTCACAGAGTGCCGGTCCTCCACTGGAACTGGAAAGACAGACCAGGAAATAGACTGCACCAACCTCCTCCTGTTTGGTGTCTGACATCATTGTGGTATCGATAGATCCTTTGGTCCTAAGGATTCTGGGCTTGAAGTCGCCTTGCTCCTACTTAAACACTTAATGGAGGCAACTGGTTGGACAGACAGCTCCCACATCAACAACCAGGGTTAACCTAGTGACTCCTTCTGTCCAAATGCACCATTAAATAAGCTTCACACACATGTACAATCACACTTGGCCTGTTCTGAACATACATAAACCTGCAGTCCAGAAGGGCAAGAAGGCTCCTCTTAAAGTTACAGTCCATGGTCGAGGGACGTTTCGCCTCTCACAGGCCCCAGTAAGGAGCCAGACACCTGCGGTCCCTGTCGTAAACATCAGGTATGACCCCATAGGGCGTCTGCACCATCTTTACAGAGTTCCTTCCAAACAGCTTCCTCTCATACTCAATGAGCTGGCGCCAGAAGCCCCCATTGGGCCTGATGACCGGGCGGCGCGCTTTCACCCAGGCATGGGCCTCGGCCAGAGACACGCGGTGATACTTCATGAGGTATGCCAGACACAGAGAGGCAGAGCGGCTCACCCCCGCCGCGCAGTGCACTAGCACCGCTCCTCGCTTCCGCCCCACGCTGTGGATCTTATCCGCCACGCTGTCGAAGTACAAGGAGATCGGGGAGTGGGGCATGTCCGCTAGTGGGACCTTCACGTACTCCATGTGAGGCCAGTTGAAGTTGGGAAGCTCGATGGTGGCGTTGACCACACAGGTGATGCCTTTGGACAGCAGCAGGCTACGGTTGGACGCCACATTCCCTCTGCTGAGGAAAAGGTTGGGCGTGATTTGAGCGATGCCCCCCAGCAGGCTGCTGCTCTCAGGCAGCAGCCTTGGCACCGTGGCGGGCAGCATGGAGCTACGATGGTGGTGGTGGTGGTGGTGGAAGAAGCCTTGGCTGCGGGAACCCATCGGGAAATCAAGACGGCTTCAAAAGGGACTATACTTTATTTTATCTTCTGGAGGCCAGGATCATAGTAGAGCGGCGAGGCCAGATAGACAGCTCCTGAAACACAAACATTTAACACTCAATTTACATTTAGCATTTTTATAGCTCAGTGTTGGCTGACAACAACACAAACACTTCACAAGGACGGGTAAGAACAATGCTATTTGCAACAACAAAAAAGAGCTGAAACACCATTTTTTTCTTTGGATGCCATTGTGCGAGACAAAAGTGTTAAAATACTCAGACATTATGCCAGGAATGTTCTTTGGTTGTCTCAGTCTTAAAACATTACAAAAAATCTGATGTAACAATTAAAGCTCAGCCGCAATAGCTGGTTAATCCAAAAACAGTGATCAGCACGTCCACACGCCTCACTTTATAATAACATCGGACGGGTTCATGTGAAACTTGTTTATAAATCAGCCAGAGAGATCAGCCTCTCTCTACATTCAGGGTGAACGGTCTCCACTGCTGCACACCGAGACGTGCCTCCATCTGCCAAGTGAGCCAGGACCCCCCTGGAGGTGAACACTCACCTCATCTCATGTTCATCCATCCACAGCCCTCACATACAGATTATATCTCTCGTCTCTCTGGCTACTGCTGCTGCTATGTCGCTTTAGACGGCACCAAACTGCAGGGTGGAAAGTAGTTACATTCTGTACAATTATACCAACCTGAGCTGATAATTTACTCCTTTTAGTCACAAAATGTTCTGAAATGCGTTCATCTTATTCCATTTTCCAAAAGAAGAGTTCTGAAAAGAATCTCTCCTAAAAGCATTAATGAGCTGTAACATGAACTTGAAGATGCACGTTGCAGATCACAAAAAACAAAAATAAATAATTGGACTCATAATGTGTCCTTTCTGACTGTGCTGTGTGATGGATTTCACCTCCTGCGTTAAGACTTCAGTTATCAGCAGAGAGCCCACAGCTCCGGGCGCCGCTGCACCTACTGTTGCACTTGTCGTGCATCATCCACACCTTGTGCACCGGTCTGGCCGGCAGCTCTTTTTCTTTCATTTTCTGCTACAGTCTGGTTAACAAGACACACGGGTCAACTGCTTTCAACTGGAACTCAACCTGCAGAAATAAAAACACCTGCTGCAGCCTGTGAGGATGCACAGACAGATATGGACTGCTCTTATTAATATAACACTCGTCAAATACAAGACATGAATTTGAATCCCCCTGTATGAATGACATTACAGTGAGACAATGGTGGCAACCTTGAGATGAAAACATGAACAACCTCGTTCTTTTAAACAGTGGTTTCCTGGACCTGCAAAAGTCTTCTTCAAAACCATAGAAACCAAGTTTTTTTTTTTTTTTACAGGTTCTCTGACAGGAATCTGTAAAATGTTCTCACTTCAAAATCCAACAAGAGACTCTCTTGTTGATCAATCAATTGTTCTTTTGTGTGTGGTTCGGCTTTGTGTGCAGTTGTTACCAGTGCTTGAATAGAAACTTTATCAGCAGGATTTTCCACCACTGAATCAGCCTTTGACTTTCACTGGGCACACACACTGGCATTTGTAAAACGCGGACAATAAGTCCACCCTCTCTCTGCAACCTGAACTTGTCCATCGATTCCCTTGAGAAACTGCAAGTGAGAACACAAACGTCTGAACCGGCCAGACACGAAACAGTCTTTAACTATACTAAGTAAACCTTGAGTCGAGTAAACCTTGAATTTACGATATCAACAATAAATGAAAGATTTTATTTTTGACCACCAAAGAAAAACCTTTCCTACTCCAGTTTAAAATAGAGAAAAAGTTCACCTTTGGTTTACATGGCCTCAACTGGTTCAGTAGATATTGCTATGTTCATCGGGTCACAAAACAAAAAGGTTATGAACCACTGCTCTAAATGTTACATCACAGATAGTCCAGATAAAAATGTCAGCTGCTATCTTTTACTTTTTCCTACAAGATATCCTCAGATTAATAAGGTTGTAACCTCTGATTTGAATGGTTTAATGGCCTACAGTCTGCATGAATAGAAGAGTACGTATCCAATCCAAATAGAAATACTGATTTTAGATGTAATCATCTTCTGAAAGTCAAAACTTCATGACTAAGCTTCCAGCTATTTAAAATAAAGAAACCAGCCTCTCTCCCGTTCACCCCTCTCCTCATGTTGATCACAGTGTTCTTGATGCCTCAGCATGGCCTGCTTCGCTTTTCAAAAAGGAGAAAGGAACTAACAAAGCTTTCCACTTTCCTCAACACTGGTCGCCGGTGGTGATTCAACAACAGAAACATGAGCCAGACTCTGGAAGATAAGTTTTACACTCAGACCACAACAGGAGCTGTTGTCTTCTGTGTAGGTGCTCTATCTAACCTGAACTGAAAAAAGTAACAACCAAAGTGAAATGTGATTTTCTGTGTTTGCATTATTGGTGATGATGTTTTTGCCATGATTTTGCTTTTCCTTGTCTAATGTGATGGTAGATTAACCATCTTTAAGGTTGTTGTGTTTGAAGACATCAGTTTATGCTTTAAGAAACATTTCCCCAAATGTAAAATGGCACACATGGCTTTAAAACCAAGCAGGGAATGAACCACAACAATTCTCACAATTAGACGAAAGTTTTTCTGAGTTTATTCAGCGTCACATCATGTTTGTATTAGCTTGTTCCTGTTTATTCTGGGATTCATCACCCTGCTCTCATCACTAAGTCATGGATGCAGAATCTGTGCATAAAGTTGCAGTCATCTGCATTTCTTGCTACTAAAAAAATTGAAAAAAATAACAATCAACTCTTGCCAGGTTCAAACCCTACTCACAAAAGCACAGTGATGGAGAGTTGTGAAATACACACATAAGATTCCCTTATTAGAATTGTGTGCAAAATCACATTGCAACGGTGGCTTTTATCCCACTCACGCTATCATCAAGACATTCTTTTGTCTTTTTGTCTTTATTAGTTAGGACAGCTGAAGAGAGACAGAAAATGTGGGGCGGAGAAAGTGGGGGATCACATGCACCACCAGGCCAGGAGTCGAACCTGCGACCAGTTTAATGAGGATGGTAGCCTCTGAACACAGGACACCTGCTCAAGCAACAGACCTAAACCAGCCCCCATATGCCAGTATCATGTCATCATCATTATCATTTCACCGCAATTCATTCTGTTTCAGAGTAATGCACAGTCCACACATGACCTCGTGAATATATATATATATATATATATATATATATAGAGGAAATTCTCTGTTGCTGCGGCAACCTCCTGACCACTCTATAAGACAACAGTAGCCACATTAATGCAGAGATTAAGAAGATAACAGAACCTCTGGTCCTCTCCATAGTGATACAGCTCCGGGCTGTGTTGAGATTTGCTCAGTCCACATGGTTATTTTTACCCCGGGCAGGGCAGGGGAGGGCAGGGCAGGGCAGGGCAGAAGAGCGGCTGCAGATTGCAGAGGAGGAATTATGCAGAGTATGTCACCAATAGAAAATTCAACTGTAGTGTTTAAGATAAATCGGATGCTGCAGCTTCCCGTCAATCAAATCTGTGAAAATACTGCAAATGTTGTTGAGGCAGATCAACCATGATATGATTTATTCAATAAAGCCCTTACTAAATCATCAGTGTGGGTCTGTCAACAGGTGGTCTCACCTCACAAATCTCCTCTGATACTCTCTCCATCTGCAAAAAGATTCCTCGGGTGTCTGGTTCCACGTCCTCCAACACAAATTGGAAACGTGACCCACCTGCTGGAAATCCATCAGCAACCTCACTCTCACAACACTGAATGGTGAAAACTCTACGACACCGAGATCTGAGCTGGGACTTGGGATGGGGAACTTGAAACTACCAAATGAAATCGCCCTCACAACCCAGAATAAGATAAATGAAATGTCTGGGAAAGGTGTGAGCAGACACACAGCTCTCAGCGTCGTCTCTCAATCAAAGGCAATCAATTTATTCAGTCTGAGTGATCCATGGAAGTGATTCTGCTGCTGCTGCTGACAGTCCAGATAATAATCAGGAGAAAATGGGGAGAAATGACAAGGATGGTTCTTTGTGGAGGAAGAACAGAGCTTTAAAAATTCAGCCAAACACACCGGGTGCAGCTTTAAACACACAAAGACAGGAATAGCCGTCAAAGTCTTCTGCAAAAGGAGTTAAACGAGGGAGAGTCTAATTCCAAATGAAGAAAGGGTTCAGCTTTGTCACATTGCTCACAGAGTCCACAGCTTTACACAAAGACACTTGAAAACTCACATGAGCAGCCCGAGACAAGGCCTCGTGTCAGATAGTATAAAAATGGACGTATGTCTGTTTTTCAGACATAAAGAGGCCTATTGTGTGCGGTAAACTCATTTCATAATTCATATGTTTGTAGGACTACGTTTGAATCCACTATACTACAAATAGACGAGTAAATGGAGTGACTCTCCTTAACTTTTAAACAATGAAAGAAAAGACACGCTGCTTAAACTCTGATAAGGCTCATTACCTCATTGTTGCTATAAGCAGCGATTACCAAAAAGAGCGGGAAAATGAGTCAGTACATTTTAAAGTGATGAACAGATTCAATCATTCATCAAGTTAAATTTGCCAAACTTTATTTGTTGAACGCAAAATGGTAGACTTTTGATCTTTCTTGAGAATGTCATAACGTTTTTTTTTTTTTTTTACCTGTTAAGCAAATAAAGGAAGAACTTTGAAAATTACACTTAAAACTAATTATTAACATATTTGTCTATATTTTTTGTGTAAAATTGGGGAATGAATGAATATACAACACAAAAATCATACACTAATCATTGGCGTGTCTATTAGAAAACATAAGCAACACATCTAAACTGATATTTCAATTTGTCTTAAACAAAATGTCTTTCTAAATGGTGTTATTTAATCAACGTTAATAGACTTCAGTATTCATGGATGATGTCGAGTCTTCATGTGCCACAGTGTGTAAAGATGTGGGGCTTTGGGTGAATGACTCCTCAAGTTTAAAATAATGAATTCTCCTGTGCGCACGCTCTACACGTCCTCGTGCGCGTGACGCGAGATGTGTGAGTGTTCACAAGTTCTCGTGCCTGAAAAATCTCTTAATAAACAGAAAAATATGAAAACATAGCTATGTTTGTGTCCAGTGTACACCTGGCATCAGCTTGTCTTTTTTTTTAATAAATGGAGGACGTGCACGTTTTATCAATTTCACCTGTCTTGCATCATAAAACAGATCACAATAAAAACGTGTAGCAAGATAAAAGCCAGCAAAACACATAATTCAATATTTTTTAATTAAGTTTAAATACCTTTGATAAACTGCCCTCATCAGATGTACAACTCAACTTACCAGGTGGTTCTCAGTCGGACAGAGATGGAGGTTTTCAAATCGTCTTCACCGCCTGCTTCGATCCGGTGGGCTGCTCTCACAGTACGGACATTAACCTTCAGTCGGTCCGATCACACAGACGGCCAGAGGGATGGCGAGAGGCCAGCAGGTGAGAGACAAACCGCGACAGCCAACAACATCATGTGAAAGTCAACAGAAATACGAGCCATCAGTGCATCCGCCGGCTTCTACGCTGGCAGGAGGAGCGGCGTGTACAGAACAGTACAGCCTGTATGAGGGCTGGATAGTGCCACACACAGGAGGTGGCCAAAGATACCCCAGGGTGGTATATTGACAGTCCACACAGCAGAACTGACTCCTGCATTGGTTTGAAGCAGAAACGTATAAGGTTGTGGAAGTTCAATTGGTTGTTTGTTACATTTCCTCTCTTTGTTTCTGCACTAAGCAGGGACCTGATGGCTCCTCCGTTGCCAGGCTATAGGAGGACTTAATTGACGGACGCATTTGAAGAAGCCTTAGAACAACGATGCTATGATAAATTGGTCTTCTGCCCACCGAAGGATCAATCAATCAATCTTTATTTGTATAGCGCCAATTCATAACAGATAATAACACAAGACACTTGAGGTTAAAGATCTTACTCATTGTTATATTATACCCAACATTATCCGGATTCATGCCTTGAATTGGGACACAGCTTGAGACATACCGCCTGATTTATGGCAGTGTTCATGATTCTAGTTTTTTATCAGATAAAAAAAGGGGTAGCCTATAACGACATAAATTTACTTCCATGTTGTCTTCTGTACCGGATAAGCAGAGATGAGAATCAACCAGAGAAAAGTAACCAACACTCACAAGAGTAATTGAACTTTGCATATTCATGAGTGTTTGCTTCAAGTCGACACAAGCAATGTTCTGCTGGGGACGGTACTGACCTGAGGGGTCTTTGCAGCGTTAGCAATAATCGCTGGGTGTATTTTGTCTTCACTTTTCACAACAGGAAGAGGTGAAAAGCATTGTTCATCTTTATATAACACGGTCAATGGTTTAAAACCTATCAACCTGAGACAATCTTGGTTCTTTTATAAAACTAAGAGAGGCAGCTGAAGTGTACTAAAAAGAGCTGTAGGAATGACTTCTTCCAAGAAATGAGTTAGCATTTTTACACTACCACTTTCTCTTTGTTCAAGTCAATGTTTTTTTAAAGGTAATTTGGTTAGATGCCAAAATTAAGTTTAAAACAAGCTTTAGAGATTCTCTGTTTTGTTCTATAATAGGCTTAAATAATACAGTACACTCAACTCATGAATTATGAAGCCTCTAAAGGTCCTGACACACCAAGCAGACGGCAAAGAACTAGTGTCGCCTCACGTCTTGGCCAAAAAGTTACACTAGAACGCAGCGCAAAGTCTACAGCCGACGGCCAACTACCACGTATGATCTGCGCATGCGTGAGGGCCGGCGGTGGCTCGTTGTTATATGAGAAGACCAATTTCACACCGCTGTGTACCTCTTATTACAGGTAGCCTCAAGAATGTCTGATATAAAGTAGAAAATGGCACTAGTGTCATAAGCCCTTGGTCTTTTAGTGGAAAAAGAAGAGAAGAGGCGGAGGCGACAAATAAATCGAAACCGCACTAATGGATGAAAGCAAGGATATTACAGCTATAGGCTCAAGAGGCTTTCCTGAACCTGTTGAGGGCTGGAGATAAATGACATCTCTGAACAGCCAATCAAGAGAGATCCATCTCACAGACCGCTGACGCTGATTCAATAGGTCGAATCAGCAAAAAAAAAAACACTTGTGGCACACTTGCACACATGCACTGTATATATCTAAAATCAGAAAAGCACAAGTTGTTTAACTGCTGTCATGATAAGACACATGGGGGCTTGATGTGTAGAAATTTGGGACATTAATTGTATCTTGATTCAACATGATTCACTGATTCCGATTGAGCTTTTCTGTAGAATCTGAATAGACAAAATACCTCTTACTCCACTTTCTCCCGGGCATCAGTTACTCCTCATACTAAAGCGGTGGGAGGATGCCTCCTCAGAGCGATACTGAAAACTATTGGTGAGATGCGAGAAAACAACTAACACACCTCTTTTCTGCAAGTAAAATTATCAAAGCCTGACTGAAATGGAGTTCTGACTCTTTTTAAACAAGAGACTATTTGTTTCCCTCAAAATGTTTTGCAGCAGAGGTTAAAGCGGAGCATACACTTGAAGACAAAGCCAGACTGTAGATAGCATATAAGGTCATGATTGTAAATTCCCCAGGCTGAAAAACACCCACCTTTTTCATCTTTTACTACCAACCAACATGAGTACAAAATTCAGGGTATTTTAAGAAGTGTCACATGTATTATAGTCTTTTAATTGTTCAGTTTTATTGCAGTTCATATATCCAACAAATAAAAAGAGAGGACATGATAAGCTGCTTATAAGTTTGATCGTTCCTTGTAAATACATTTGTAACATTTTCCCCAAAATAAATGCACTCTTGATCAAAATGGGGACAGAGGCGATGACAGAACTAAAGAGATAAAAATCAATGAATTAATTTTACAGTGTATTTTTGACATACACTGCATGGAAAACCTTAACTGATTACTCAAACTACAGCATGCACTTCAGCGTTTTGGCATTAAGAGTCTGAACCTCACTGACACTGAAGTGTTATATGTTGTACAGGTTATTTTTTTTAAAATCCTAACACCTTCTAGTACACAGACAGCTGCACTGTTTAAGTGAGCGGAGGAGACCACCTGATACAGTAGCTTCAACATTCAGCGGTAAATGTTTGCCGGCAGGGACCTGTGTGATCATGTTACAGGTCTTGAACTTATAAAAACCCAGAGAGCAAACTCAGAGTTGAGGATGCACTAAACACAGGCAATATGTTTTCCATCTCAGCATGCTGCTGACAGTATGCACTTGTTCAACACGCACACAAATGCACACGTTACTCATTTAAATGTTCCCCCTGTGCTGTGGGCTGCAGGCCTATTTAGAAAACAAATAATCTGTCTGAACTAAAGGTCTGTTATTTCAGATCTCATTATGCCCTGCCCTGGAGGAATCCGCTTGATATCTTTGCAGAGCTCGACATTGTGTGTGTTTCTTCTGACCATCAACATAGTTACAACTCTGAGGCTCTCTATACCGCAGCTGTATCTGTGGAGCCGTGTACGAAACCATAATTAGACATGCTTTCCAAAGTCAATCCTATTTCAAAGAGCTCCTGGGGGAGGTATTACGCTATCCATAAACCCATGGCCCCTGCCTCAGAGTCACTCCTAATTACATTCCAAATTCAATCAAGTGGAAACAAATAGCAGCACCACTGAAGAAACTGGTGCAGGGGTGACTTTTTCTGCACTGTGTGAAAAAAAAGAGAGAGGAAATGACATTCATTGACACCAGATTTTTTTGACCCTGTGCTTGGAATGCGTCCTGCTTTAAGGCAGACGAGCGATGAGAACACGCGTTGATTGAAATTCACCTGTTGAATGTTTAAAGAGATGAGGAAATGGTGACACAAAATGTCTGTGAACAGAGTGAGCAAGAAGTAAAGAGAAAAAAAAGGAAAAAGCGGTGATGGATGTTTATAAAGTGTTAACCTTGAATTAGAACAGCGGCGAGCCAGAGAAAGATGGATAGAGAGATGGAGGGAGGGAGATAGAGCTGCGGGGCTGGAGAGACGGGGACTGGGGTTCAGACTGAAAATGTCAGATGAGTCAGAGGCATTCTGGGAGGACGCTCCTGTTTAATATGGCTCCACAGTCTGCCATGGAGGCTGGAAATTTACAATGACACCATCGTGGTAATAACAAGCACCTGCAGCCACGTTCTGAAGGAGCTGTCTGCTCTCCGAATGAGCGGGCAGTGACATTGATTAACCCTGACCGCCTGTAACAGAAGATAACTGATGGGCTTGACAGTGCACAGGGTTGCCACAGTGATTTAACTATAAAATCCTTTGCACATCTTTCAAACACATCTGTGTTGTCCAGATATGGTCACTTATTTACGCTCTTGTTCCCACATTCCTCATAGTCCTCCATCTGGTACAACACAAAACATGTATCCACCATATTAGCGTCCTCATTGTTGGAATTAGGAGTCTGTGAAGGTTGTCTCCTACATAGCGGTCTCTCGCTCGTTTAACAATGGACAAAGTATTCCATAATCAGCTGACATGCACTTTGTTATTGTAATCCACCTTATTTGTTTGACACTTGTACTAACTTCTTCACACTAGACTGTTAGAATAATGTATGTTTTAGTGATCCCGGACATTCAATCAGACTTGCAGAAATATCAATCGGCCATTCAAATCGCACCATAAGCATCAAATGACTAAATAATGGTTCTTATTGATGTAAATACAAGCCTGATTGTTTTTCTATATATGTACAAATCACAATGTAATAACATAAATATTTAATATTTAATCACAAAACTGCTGGTTGGAGGCGGTGGGTGGTGGTTAAGACCCGGCTCCCGGCGCCATTGGTGCTATCTAGAAAATATTGGAACGAGCCAAGTCGAGCCTGAGGAGTTTGTGTATGTATGTGATCAGATAAATCAGATTATCAGAGTATCTGTGTCATCTGCTAATAAGTTGATGAATGAAGATCCCTGAGAAAGTAAACCAAAGTGTGTAAAGATGCACTGTAAATCTTCTTCATGATCCCAGCTGGCTTGTAACACTAGAGCTGTTTATTTCAGTCTGTGCGTGTATGCGTGTACGCCTGTTGACGACAGACTGACGGGGCGGTTGGAGCGGAGGTAAGATGAGGAGAATGGAAAGTGTTTTGTGATGGAGATGCTAGAGGATGAGGGGGTCTAAATAAAGTCACTGCTGATCTCACAGGTGCCCCCCCCCCCCTTTCCTCCAGCTGTGACGGTGGTAAATAGACACGGGATTTGCTGTGGCAACATGTGATAGCGGCACGGTTCCTGAACACAGCTCAGAGCCTCCCTGTTGCTCTGACATCAAACAAACGTATTTCTGCATGGACAGGAAAAATAACAACACAGTGGAGGTATTGTGCCTCACAATGGGCTGATATCGTATTTAGAGCTGAATGAATGCATTGACTTGCTCCCTTTCTTCAGTGATAGTGAGTCAAGTGAGAAAAACAGCACACACACAGATGGGAGGTGGTGGAGGGGCTGCTGCAGACGATAGTCACGACTCCTCTGCCCAGCAAATGAGC